TTTCTTAATTATACAGTACATATTTAAATGAATTACACAACCACAATACCTCAATCAAAATCAGAAACACTTATACATATAACAAAATTGACCGTAAATCTCTATCAATAAAGCAAAATCCATACCAATGCAATTCATACCTATATCATATCCCCCTTTAAATGTAAAAGAACGTTTATAAACCATATTTGGGAACATGGGCGCAGTTTTTTCTCTCCAAACTGCTTCCTGCTGAATGGGGGCGTCGTTAATTAGGTCTTTCACGGTATAACCTGTGTGTTAGCTTCATCTCAGTTGGCAGTTGAGCGAAGCAATTTTTTGAAGGCGTTCACACCAACCCTTCAGGAGGGCGTGGTCCATCATACCAAATCAGAATAGAAGAAATGAACAGCGTCTCATCCTCTGTGAAAACAAAATAAGAAACTCCTTTCCAAAGCATCATGTCCTTAGGTCCAAATTTCAAATTCAAGGCAACAAAATATCTATGTTGGATTAGCTCAGCAGCATTTATAAATAAATATCTTTTAGTAGCTTTTGCTCTTTCCTCAGCATTCAAACAATTCAAAGAGAGCATAATAGCATACAGTATCAAAATTCTCTGTGTATTTTCCATCTTTGTGCAGCTTTGTTTTAACCTCTATTTAGTTTATTTTTACTTTTAACTTTTTGCTTTTTGAGATAGGTTCTCTGTATCTTTGACCTGAAGTAACTCTGTAGACCAGGCTGTCTTTGAACTCTCAGAGATCCGCCTGTCTCTGCCTCCCAGGCATTTGGGATTAAAGGTGTAAGCTACTACACCTTGAACTCACAGAGATCTGTTTGTCTCTGCCTTCTAGGCACTGGGATTAAAGGCGTGTGCTACCACACACAACAACTCTCTTCCTTTTTTTTTATGTTTTTTACTTTAAGAACTTCAACTTTTAGTCTGCATATATTTTTAACACACTGTAAACCATTTAAAAATTTTCTTTGTCTTTGAATCTCTCTTTACTGTATATCTCTCTTTTTCTGACCACACGAGTCTTTAATTTACCAAGCAATATCAGTAGGATTAAAGGCGTGGCTTTGCCGGCTGGATCCAGCCCATTCCTTAGCTTTCCAGCCTCATGGCTGAGGTACTGGCTGTAGCCAGCAAGCGAGCTACAACAGACAACACTCAAGTCCTCTCTCAGTAGCCGGCCCTCCTGCCTCAAATAGTCAGAGTTTGCCCTGGCAGGACGGCCCAGAAAGCCGGCATTTTTAAATGGCGCAGCTTTTTTCCTGTTATGGCTGAAAACCGAAAAGCATGTGTTCAGCTTTTCGTCAACACCGTTTAAGTGTTTCGTGGCAGGACCTCTTAATGAGCTGCAGGCTTTGCAGCTAAAGCTGAGTCAGGAAGCCTCTCTTAAATGAGGCGCTTACTTGCCTCTAGCAAGCAGAGTAGAACCGAGAAATTGCTGCTACCAAGAAACCAGGCACAATGCTTTCATTTTGTTCTAGAATTACTTCCCAAGCTGTCTCAGGCTTTATGTGGAAGCAGTTGTCCACGTGGGCGCCATATGTGGTAATAGGGGCGGCAGGGCTGCGTCCCCCACACCCGGCCGCCCACATGGCTAGCTTATGCCCTGAAATAACAACACACAAACTGTATTCTTTTAATCACTGCTTGGCCCATTCTCTTCTAGGCTAATTCTCACATATTAATTTAGCCCATTTCTAATCATCTGTGTGTAGCACCCCAAGGTGCGCTTACCGGGGAGATTCTAGCCTAGTCCATCCTGGGTCGGAGCTTCATCCCGGGAGCGGGGCATGGCGTCTCTCTCTGAGGCGTCTGCTCCCAGGAGGAGCTGTGGAGTCTCTGAGCTCACTTCCTCTTCCTCCCAGTATCCTGTTCTGTTTTCTCCTCCCACCTATCTTCTAACCAATAAAATGGGCCAGGGCAGTTCCTTTATTAGCCAATGTCCTTCCTCCATCAATCGAACATGTTAAGTAGGTGCCGGGTGCCAAGAACTATTGCCTGCCCCTCTAAACAGGTGATGGGTTCTGTGTGTTCACCTGTTTCCTTGGCCCCGTGATTGCCACCTGTGATCAGCCCCAAAGGAGCAGCACTCGGGGCAGGGAAGGCAGTTGAAGCCAGGAACTCGAGTGTGGCTGTGTGTGACTGTACTCTGGGAGAGATGGAGTGTGACTGTGTGTGACTGTACTCTGGGAGAGATGGAGTTGACTGTGTGTGACTGTACTCTGGGAGAGATGGAGTGTGACTGTGTGTGACTGTACTCTGGGAGAGATGGAGTGTGACTGTGTGTGACTGTACTCTGGGAGAGATGGAGTGTGACTGTGTGTGACTGTACTCTGGGAGAGATGGAGTTGACTGTGCGTGACTGTACTCTGGGAGAGATGGAGTGTGACTGTGTGTGACTGTACTCTGGGAGAGATGGAGTTGACTGTGCGTGACTGTATTCTGGGAGAGATGGAGTGTGACTGTGTGTGACTGTACTCTGGGAGAGATGGAGTTGACTGTGCGTGACTGTATTCTGGGAGAGATGGAGTGTGACTGTGTGTGACTGTACTCTGGGAGAGATGGAGTGTGACTGTGTGAAGTAATAAGGGCAGCGGGGCTGCGTCCCCAGCACCCCGGCTGCCTGCTCGGCGGCTAGCTTATGCCCCGAAATAATTACACGGACACTGTATTCTTTTAAACACTGCTTGGCCCTTTATCTTCTAGGCTAATTCTCACATATTAATTTAGCCCATTTCTAATCATCTGTGTGTAGCACCCCAAGGTGCGCTTACCAGGGAGATTCTAGCCTAGTCCATCCTGGGTCGGAGCTTCATCCCGGGAGCAGGGCATGGCGTCTCTCTCTGGCGTCTGCTCCTGAGAGGAGAGCTGTGGCGTCTGACCTCACTTCCTCTTCCTCCCAGTGTCCTGTTCTGTTTACTCCTCCCACCTATCCTCTAACCAATAAAATGGGCCAGGGCAGTGCCTTTATTAGCCAATGACCTTCCTCCATCAACTGTGTGTGACTGTACTCTGGGAGAGATGGAGTGTGACTGTGTGTGACTGTATTCTGGGAGAGATGGAGTATGACTGTGTGTGACTGTACTCTGGGAGAGATGGAGTGTGACTGTGTGTGACTGTATTCTGGGAGAGATGGAGTGTGACTGTGTGTGACTGTACTCTGGGAGAGATGGAGTGTGACTGTGTGTGACTACTCTGGGAGAGATGGAGTGTGACTGTGCGTGACTGTACTCTGGGAGAGATGGAGTGTGACTGTGTGTGACTGTACTCTGGGAGAGATGGAGTGTGACTGTGACTGTACTCTGGGAGAGATGGAGTGTGACTGTGTGTGACTACTCTGGGAGAGATGGAGTGTGACTGTGCGTGACTGTACTCTGGGAGAGATGGAGTGTGACTGTGTGTGACTGTACTCTGGGAGAGATGGAGTGTGACTGTGCGTGACTGTACTCTGGGAGAGATGGAGTGTGACTGTGTGTGACTGTACTCTGGGAGAGATGGAGTGTGACTGTGCGTGACTGTACTCTAGGAGAGATGGAGTGTGACTGTGTGTGACTACTCTGGGAGAGATGGAGTGTGACTGTGCGTGACTGTACTCTGGGAGGGATGGAGTGTGACTGTGCGTGACTGTACTCTGGGAGAGATGGAGTGTGAATGTGACTGTACTCTGGGAGAGATGGAGTGTGACTGTGTGTGACTGTATTCTGGGAGAGATGGAGTGTGACTGTGTGTGACTGTATTCTGGGAGAGAGAGAGCCGTGTTTTCAGTCTTGAGCCTGCTCTGTGGGGCAGATGGCGGTAGCTGGGGAGCTGTGGCTTGTTCTGCTGAGAAGGTCCCAGAACATGGGTTCTCTCTCTAATAGGCTAGGTCCTCTTGAGTGTAGGACTTGCCCTTGAATAACAGCCCCAGAGAAAGAATGAGTGGAAGCCAAGGCCACAAAAGTCACCTTGAGACACACTCTGTGCTCTGGCACCATCTTAGAAATAACCCTGAGCTGAAGAGCAGTCTGAACACAGCGTTAGAAGCAAGAGAGACTACGTCTAGGTCTTCTGCATTGGTAGTGGGAAGATGGTAGGCCAGCCGCTGGAGCCAGAGGCTGGAGGATGGCAGGACCGGAGACAGGGCTGGTACCCGACCAGCATACCAGCGTGCAGAGCGACCAGGCTTCCCAGGCTGTGCTTTCCTTTGGTCTGTGGAACTTGGGGATGACCATGCTTCTGTTTAGCCATTCTTGGTGCCAGGTCCAGGACCAGGCTCAGTCTGCATGCGGCCGCCTGCCTCTGTAGCCTCTGCTCTGCAGCCCTGGCTGCCTGTGCTCTGCAGCCTCTGCTCTGCAGCCTGCCTGCCTCTGCAGCCTGTGCTCTGCAGCCTCTGCTCTGCAGCCTGCCTGCCTCTGTAGCCCATCTGCCTGTGTAGCCTCTGCTCTGCAGCCTCTGCTCTGTAGCCCTGGCTGCAGTTACCATCCACAGGCAGCTCTTGAGAGCTGCCCCCAGTGCTGGGTCCTCTTCCAGAAAGCTGCTGTTGCTGGCCAGCTCCCTGGCTTCCTGCAGGTTTGCTTCATTAGGCATCTCTCCTTAGAGTCCAGCCGAGTCCCGCTGTCGGGACCACTGGGCGCACCCAGGGTCTTTCCTTTGCGATCCTCATCACGTCTGTGTCTGGTGTTCTGATGTCCCCTTGTGTCATACACCTGTGAGCACTGGGACAGTGTCTGCTCACACCTTTGTTTACTGCCAGAATAACCAGAAGGAGCAGTTTGTTCTAAAGCAAGCTCAGCCTTTTGATATGGCCTCTGGATCCTGCCTAGACAACCTGTGCCAGGTGTGGTGGGCCAAACCTGTGATCCCAGTATGCCAAGGAGGAAGGCTCATGAGTTCCAGGATAGCCTGGGCTACATAGAGACTCCGTCTGTAAAGAAAAACGATCCCTTCCAAGGCACACACATTCTGTTTCAGTGGTGCCACACACCTATAAAACTGACACACTTTGCTCTTCTCTTCCCCGCAGAACGAAATGTGCCTGGCCACTCAGCAGCTCTCGAAGCAGCTACTAGCATATGAAAAACAGGTAACTTCTGGTGCACTGCACGGTGCCTTGCTCAGGAACCCAGGAGGCCCCTTTTAAAGGCATTCCCCAAGGACACCCTCCAAAGGTCCCTGTGTCCTCCCTGCATGCAGCCTTTTCTTCTCTGCCTCCCTTTCTTTCTTCTTATCCTTTCTCACTGATAAAATGTACCTGGGATCATCCCAAAGTCTCGAGCTAATCAACTGCCCACGAGTGTTCCTGGTCTCCAGGAAGGCCAAGCCACTCATGCCAGCCGTCAGGAGAGAACCCTAGCTATCATCCTGTTCAGATGGTCAGGCGTGGCCAGGCAGGGCTGTTGGTCCCTCTCTCAGACAGGCAGAGGGAACCTGACGGGGTGTGCCTGGGAGCGGAAAGGAAGTGGGTGCCAGCGTGGGGTTTGTCAGAGTTTCATTTAACACCTGGCTTTCTGATTCTCTCTGTCCTAGAATTTTGCTCTGGGCAAAGGTGATGAAGAGGTCATTTCTACACTACATTATTTTTCCAAAGTGATGGATGAGGTAAGGCTTGGAAAACTTTTCTCTATGAACTCTTTTGTCCCTATTTTGCCTCCCTCTGCATTAGAACACCTCCTCAGATTTCTGAGGTTCAGTCCACAATAGAGGTGGGGCTAGCTCCGTACTTGCCTTTTGGAGGGAAGATAGACCACAAGGACTTCTGAGCATTTGGTCCCCCGGTTTCTCGGGCCACCCTGATATGATTCCACAGCTAGATGGCTTCAGATATTAGGACTTCATTCTCTAGAAGCTTTGCAAGACAGAACACTAGCTCGAGTTGTCTGCAAAACCACATTCCTTTAGGGCCTAGCTGGACTTCTCCCTTCCTCCTGGCAGCTTCTGGTGGTTGTGGTGTGCCTTGGCTTACAGCAGCATCCCTGCCACATGTATCTCTTCTCAAGACGACTGTCACTGAGCCGGGTCACCTGGAAAATCACAGTACTTTGTTTTTAACACCCCTGATCACATGTTCAGAGACGGTTTCCACGCGCTCCTTTGTCCTGTGTTCTGGGTGGATGTGTCCTCTGATGGGGACCCAATTCAACCCATGACATACGATTTTATACACCTGTTCTTGTAACTTTATTATATTTGTGGGAAACCATTGTTATAGGAAGTAACATAAACTTTAGTTGTAAAACCGTAAGTGGACTGGGGATTTGGCTCAGGGTACAGTACTTGCCTTGCATGTGCTGGGTTTGATTTCAGCACTGCTTTAAGTAAAACCCTCAGAGCTCCATTACTGCGGGTACCAAGAGACTGTCTGCGTCCCTGGGGTGCATGGGCTCCAGTTTGTCATAGGAAACATGCCGTGGCCAGCACTGAGCCGCAGTTGTTCTGGACGCCGGCGTCCGTTTGGAACTGGACCAGCTGCGTCTCCCTGGTTCACTCGGCAGGGCCTGGTCTGTGGCGGTCTTTGTGGAAGCGCTGGAGGCAGAGGTAGACAAGCCATCTGGTTCTGGTTTGTGTTGTGTCCCATTGAACGGTGGGGAGAGGGCAGCAGACTGTTCCCTCCTGTTGTGTTTGAAAGCCCAGGGTCCCACAGTAAAGGAGAGCCCAGTCCTACTAAACAGCCTTGACTCCGGGTGCCAGTTATAAGCCCAGGCTTGAGGTGCATCTGACTGACCGGCTCTACACTGGGGTTTAGTCATTTGTAAGACCGGCTCACAGCTCAGGGACTCATATGGTCACCACTTGTGATTGAGAGACACCATGAAGGACACAGTGACCAGCAGATGTGGTGACTCGTGGCAGGGTGTGGGGAGGGGCAGAGCTTCCTCCCTCTCCGGCTACACCGCTTTCCTGCGGGTGGCTTCCTGGAAGCTCTTCCTTTCTCAAGCCAACCTAGAAACCTCATCACAGACATGCCTAGAGGTTTGTTTCCACAGCGATTACAAACCTATCATCGGCAGTCATGATTAGCCGACATCTCGTCATTCCCGCTTTGGGGTCTCTAAAGTATGTCAGTAGACCGGCGAGGTGGCTCAGCAGGTAGGAGCGTTTGCTGCTAAGTCTGATGACCTGAGCTCAAGGCCTGTGCCCACGTGGTAGTGGAAGAGAACTGACTCCTCAAGTCATCCTCAGACTCCACAGGGTGCTGTTGCTTGTACACACGCACACACATGCGCACACACACACACAGACACACACACAAACAGGTGCATGCTCACACCCAGTGAATAAGTGTAAAAATATATTGACATGGATATAGAATCTATTAAAGGTGGAATTACCGAGCAGCAAGGTGATTTTTGAAAGGCATGAAGACTCTTTTTATTTATTCAGTTTACACAGTTATTAATTGTGAGTAAATAGCATGGGGAGGCAGTGGGATACTTCCATCAAAATCGCATATGCCCATACGTGGAAGAGAGGCTCTGAGGAAGTGAGGCTGGTTGTCAGCCGTGTGGCGAGTATGCCCAGCTGACATTCGCTACCCACTGTCTTCTGGGAAGCAGTGTGGTTCTCTCGATGGACTGAATCGAGGGTGGTGCCGAGAGGTTTGCACAGCTTCCTCATTTCCAGACTAAGCCACCAGCAGCTGGGCTTAGGGAGACAAGAAGAGAACAGCTTTGCTAGCTTTGACATAGTTCCCTCTGTACTAGAACCAGGTGAGTTTAAAGGTGAACCAGCTGAACAGACAGGAGAGAGTGGCCCATGTGATAGGCTGTCCTGGAGTGAGATCTTTCTTGTGAGCCAAAAATGCCCTCTGGAGTCCCATTTCCTGTCACAGCTTCTGGACACACAGGGCGGGGTTGGGGGGGGGGCAGACCGTGCTCGGCAAAGCCGCTGTGGTGGGAAGTTGTCAGCCTGTGCATCTGTCATGCCCCACAGAAGATGTATGACACAAATTCCATCCTTAGGAAGAGAACGACCGGGCGGGAACTTTGCCATCCTGACATGTGGGATCACTTTCCTGCTTGCTTGATGTCCGCTAAGCCAGGGCCGCGGGCGTAGTGGGAGGGCTTGTTGAGGTTCAGTTAGGTGTTGATGGAAACCATTACAGTTCTTACTTCAGTCATTCTAGGAGAAAGCTCAGCCCTCCAACCTCAGTGGCGTTCACTGACAGGGCCATCTCAGAAGAAAGTCACCACACCTCAACGGGGCCGAGATAAGGAGACACTAACGGTGATTGACCTTAGATCTTTAAATCCTGACCCCAGCAGGCAGACCCTGTAGGAGATGCGCAGGCATGGGGCAGTGGCCGGGATGGCTGCTGTTATTGCTGAAGGTTGCCTTGCCAGCTGCTGACCACAAAAATGATCTTGAGGTGCTTGCCCCTCGTCACCCCCACTAGGGACACCACTGGTGCCTCATCATGGGATGTGTGGTTTGGGCAGCACTGTGACATCCAGAGCACGCTGTCTGCCCAGTTGTGGAGAAAGAGTGATTTCATTCCTAGCCACGATCACATCCCAGCTGTGCCGGTCATGTGTGATCTGGATTAGCATTAATTGTCTGTGGGTACAATGGGGCTGTAAATGGCCCCTGATTGACAGGGTGGGCATGGAAAGCTGGCCCACAGGTGGTAGCACTGACAGCATCCTCTGTCTCCGTGGATCTGCTGGCTGTGGGCTGAGCTAACCCTAGTCAGTTCCCAGCAGGCTGGTTTTTCTGGTGTGACCATAGCTCCTGTGAGTGAGACTGCCGACAGGCCTGGTGAGGTGGCAAGCCAGAGTCCTGCCAGCAATCTGCATTCGGTGCTGGCCAGTGCCCTGTGTGTCTAGGAGGGTGTGGCCCAGCCTGAGAATATAGAGCCAGCGTTTGCACAGAGAGCAAAGAGGACTGTGAGCCGGAGACGCCTTTGGCGAGCTTCCCTGATGCCGCAGCCAGCCCTCCTGGCCTACCTCGGTCCGTGGTTTATGAGGGTGTGTGTGTGTGTGTGTGTGTGTGTGTGTGTGTGTGTACGTGTGTACGTCACCTGGGCCACCTCGGTACACAGAAGTTCCTGGTGCTGCAGCCGGCCCTCCTTGGTCCATGGTTTATGAGGGTGTGTGTGTGTGTGTATGTCACCTGGGCCACCTCGGCACACAGAAGTGCCTGGTGCCGTAGCCAGCCCTCCTTGGTCCATGGTTTATGAGGGTGTGTGTGTGTGTGTGTGTGTGTACGTCACCTGGGCCACCTCGGCACACAGAAGTGCCTGGTGCCGCAGCCAGCCCTCCTCGGTCCGTGGTTTATGAGGGTGTGTGTGTGTGTGTATACATATGTGAGGATGGCACACAGGAGTGCCTGGCGACGCCTGCTGAAGTACACGTCAGCAGTACAGTGTATCATTTCTCAACTAAGCCCTTTACTTTCAGCTCAATGGTCTCCACACAGAGCTGGCCAAGCAGCTGGCAGACACTATGGTTCTTCCTGTCATACAGTTTCGCGAAAAGGACCTCACAGGTAAAGTGGCAGGCTCGGTGCAGTGTTTTCTCAATTAACCTAATTCTTACTGCATCCATTCCTTTCAACACATGGGGATCCAGAGTGCTGTTTTTGTTTTTTCAAGACAGGGTTTCTCTGTGTAGCCTTGGCTATCCTAGAACTAGTTAGCTTTGTACACCAGGCTGGCCTTGAACTCAATGAGATCCTCCTGCCTCTGCCTCTGCCTCTGCCTCTGTCTCTGCGCTGGGATTAAAGGTGTGTAACAACTGCCAGCCAGAGTGGTTTTTAAAGCCATTACATTCAGCAAACTTTCAGTTCTACACATTCCTGGCTTACCCAAGGGAGGCCACAGGCAAACAAGACAGACATGATGCAGATCATGGCAATGTCCACAGCAAGGCTGTGGAAGGGCTGGCCCAGGACTGGAGAAAGTGCTCCAGAGACCTGTGGACTTCTTGGGCATAGGGGCTCATGGAAGGCTTCCTGGCGTGGGTGGTCTGAGCTGGAGTTTGAACTGTAAGCGCTTGCCAAGTGATGCCAGTGCACGTTTTATGGGTAGAGGCAACTGTTCTTGGGAGCCACGAATGCTTTGACCTATGAAGTGTAAGCTTGGAGGGCAAGAGTGGGCAGTGCCAGGTCTTCTCTGTGGAGGGTGCTGAGGTGTGGGCATCGGGTTCTTAGAGTGGGTAGTGGCAGACATTCTCTGTGGAGGGTTCTGAGGTGGGCATTGGGTTCTTAGAGTGGGTAGTGCCAGGCATTCTCTGTGGAGGGTGCTGAGGTGTGGGCATCGGGTTCTTAGAGTGGGTAGTGGCAGGCATTCTCTGTGGAGGGTGCTGAGGTGTGGGCATCGGGTTCTTAGAGTGGGTAGTGGCAGACATTCTCTGTGGAGGGTTCTGAGGTGGGCATTGGGTTCTTAGAGTGGGTAGTGCCAGGCATTCTCTGTGGAGGGTGCTGAGGTGTGGGCATCGGGTTCTTAGAGTGGGTAGTGGCAGACATTCTCTGTGGAGGGTTCTGAGGTGGGCATCGGGTTCTTAGAGTGGGTAGTGGCAGGCATTCTCTGTGGAGGGTGCTGAGGTGGGCACTCGGATTCTTAGGGTATGGCTGTGAGCATGCTCCCGTGAAGCTCAGTGGGGAGCGAGGAAGTCTGACTGGTACCCACACCTGGGTAGCCTTTTAGATGAATTTCAGTTTCCAAACTGAAAGAGAACCTTACAATAATTAAAAATGTATTTGAAATAAAAAATAATCCAAATGAGTATTAAGAAGGCGTTATTCAAAAACTTGGTACTAGAAAGCTGAATCAAAAGGTCCTAATGCTGGTATCCTTAATCTTGTTTATTACTTACAGAGTAAAGAATTATATATAATTATTAGGAGCATACAGAGAAGATTGGCTTAGCATGGTCCATACACAAGACATGAAAATCTGTGAAACATTCCATATTAGATAAAAGAAAAACAAAAAATTATAGCTGAGAAGACTGACTAAAAAAATTATAATCTTAATTTTTTAAAAAAAAGTATAACCTTGAGACTGGAGAGACAGACGGCTCAGTGGCTAAGAGCACTGGCTGCTCTTGCCACAGATCCAGGTTTGCAAAGGTTCCCAGCACCTAAATGGTGGCACACAGCCTTCTCCTATCTATAAAAACCTGATCAAGTCATCTTCTTCTCATCACACAGAGACATGAACTTGAAGGATTTGGTCCCAGCCAAGTGTGAATTTGGCCCCTGTCTGCTCAGACAGCGCCTTAGCATACATTTTACTGTCTTTTAAATTCTAAGTAATTTATATTTTATGTATATGGATGTTTTCCCTGAATGTATATTCCTACATGTGTGCCTCATGTCTACAGAAAAAGGTATCTGATGCCCTGGAACTGGAGTTACAGATGCCTGTGAACCACCATGTGGGTGCTGGGAGCCTAACCCGGATCCTCTAAAAGAGTACCAAGTACTCTTAACCATTGAGCCGTCTCTCCAGTCCCTTAAGTATATAGCGCAAGCTGGCCTTGAACCTGGGATCCTCCTGATGTTATATCTTCATTATATCACACTAGCACGCCCCATAGCTGCCCTTGCGAAAGTGTGCCTGGGGAGAGCAGGAGACCCTAACAAGCTGTTAGAAGACAGCTCTGCCCTAACAGAAAGTTAGAAGCAGAGAAAGGAAAATGCTCGAGGGGAAGGGGCCGAAGGCAGGCAACAACAGGAGAAGGAAGACCAGCAGGCCTTCTGCATACAGACTGAGGAGTGTAGAGCCTAGAGTGTTTGTTGTTTGACAGAGTGGCATGGATTGTGTTAGAAAGGTAGAAATTATCACCTTGTCATTACATTATCATCTCAGAAGCCTCCGGGTTCTGTCTCCTGTGTTCTTCAGTGTTTCATCTTGGGCCATCATTCTTTTGGTGACTGATAGGTGGAGCGCCACGCTATGGGGTCATGGCTGTTGGTGTTGACTTGTGGCTGTGCAGTATACCGGTTTGTGCCATTTTTCATTAGCGCAATCCCCATGTCCACCGGCTACTAATAAATCAGATTTCTACAGTGATGCCTGCGGGAAACTCTGGGCCACACTGTAGCCCGGCCTGTTGTCAGGGAGATGCTCTAGACAGTTGAGCGCCTCGGCTTGTAGGCCAGGTTTCCAGACAAGTACCTGGCCATGTCCCATCTGCCAGTCCCCAGATTCCATCTCCCTTATAGACCACTGGGGGTGAAGAGCCTCTGCCGTCACCAGGCCTGCGCCTGTGGGCAGAGCCCGTGCCCTGATCCTCTCGGGAAGGCAGAGCCTTGGCTTTGCGTGGTTCCATCGCCTTTGTGCTAACACGTTCTCTTCTCCCTTGTGCAGAAGTCAGCACTTTGAAGGATCTCTTTGGGCTTGCCAGCACTGGTAGGCATCTCTCTGTTTGGGGTGCATAGGCTTGGGATGTGCCTGAGTTCAGGGTGGGCAGGGCTTAGACAGTCAGTGTCTTATGATAGATGCTCAGATACCTTTTCTTTTTAGAGCATGACCTTTCAATGGCAAAATACAGCAGGCTCCCTAAGAAGAAGGAGAACGAGCGGGTGAGTGTCCTTCAGAGTCGCTTCTGTAAATGATGCTGTGCGGTGGAGAGCGTCCTGGACCTCTTCACAGTCAAGCACCAGCTTGGTCACGTGCTGGGTGACCTCTGCGTGGTACTGTCAGGTTCTCTGCTGCCACAGGCAACTGAATCTTCAGGCGTACAGTTCTTACTTCTGTTACATGATTTCTTTGAGCTAAATTATTTCCTGGGACTACAGACTTTAGCATGAACCAAACTCTGTGGCTTTTGGCTGCTGTAGCATCTTCCCAGTGCGAAGCATTGAGTACTGGCTTTGCCTCAACTAGTCTCGGGGACTGAGGTGCTGTCACTTGGGTGTTTTCATTGGAGTTTCTTGTTAAGCCAAGGTGGACCCTTACCTCCATGCCTTTATGTTCATTGTGAAATGTTTGCGATGAACCAAATGTGCCTGAAGTTTTGTGCTCTTGCATAATTCTTTAATTATTATTTATTTTTTACATATCAATTCTAGGCCCCCCCCCACACCACCCCACATCTGGTCCTCAGAAGTCAGCTAAGTCTGTCCAACACCTCACTGAGGCAGGACCAAGCCACTCTGTATCCCTCCCCCGCCCCCCGTACCTAGGCTGGATAAGGTATCTCTCCATAGAGAATGTTTCCACCAAGACAGTCCATGCATTAGGGGTAGATCCTGGGCCCACTGCCAGTGGCTCCACACACTGCCCACTCCACACCATTGTCCCCTGCATATTCAGGGGACCTTGTTCAGTCCTATGTAGGTTCCCCACTGTCAGTCTGGGGCCAGTGAGCTCTCACTAGGTCAGGTCAGCTGAATCTGGGTTTCCCCATCATGATCTTGACTCCTCCCTGTCCTCGACTGTGCTCAGGGAGCTCGGCAGCGGATAGTTGTGGGTCTATACCTGCTTCCATCTGTTTCCGGAAGAGGGTTCTAGTGTCTCTGGGGTTGCGGACTGTAGGCTGGTCCTCTGCTTTACGTCTGATACATACTATATTTGTCTTTCTGGATCTGCAGTGCTCACTCAGGATGGGTTTTCTCGTTCCGTCCATTCTCCTCTTGCAGAATTCTTGGACCCCATGAGCAACTTGAAGTTCTCCTTCTCCCTCTCTGCAGGTGAAGACTGAAGTCGGGAAAGAGGTGGCGTCTGCGCGACGGAAGCAGCACCTGTCATCCCTCCAGTACTACTGTGCACTCAACGCGCTGCAGTACCGCAAGCGGATGGCCATGATGGAACCCTTGATAGGCTTTGCCCATGGACAGGTAGGGCGCTGCACCATGAGGGGAGACCCAGAGCAGTGGTCAGGAGACATGGGAGCGTTGCCATAGAAACAGATGCACCGTATCCTGGGAACGTTCCTGGGGCTTGGTTCTTAGGAGAGCTTCCAGCTGGGCTTGACCTGTGAGGCCATATGTTCAGGAAGCTATGGCCCAATCCCAAGCCTCCCTCAGGGAAGAGCCTGCCCGCCTGCCTGCCAGCCCGCCTCTCACCCAGGAAAAGCCCGTCCTGGCTCTGCTTTCCTAGTTGCAGCTTTCTGCCCAGGCCTCGTGGCTGGTTTTAGAGCCCGGTGTGTGTACATTGCTTTTACAGTCTGAGCTGTGGCTCACTCCCACCTAATTTGAGTGGCTGACTTGGACAGAGGATGTGCCTGTGCCTTCTCTTGGCACTGTCAGGCTCACTCTGGCGGGGCCATTCTCCCGTGGCATGTCCCTGAAGTTACTGCCAGTGCGCTCCTTCCAGGGCCATTCTCCCGTGGCATGCCCCTGTGCTTTCCGAAATCTGTGCAGGAGTTCCTCGGCTCCTTCCCTCCTCCTTAGTGATCTGCTGAGTCTTAAGAGATGCTCTCATTTAAGGATGCCAGCCCGGCTGTGGTGGCACAGAGGCGTGTCGGGGCCAGCCTGAGCTTTACCTGCCTTCTCCCTCTGTGACTGTCAACCCTTATGTCGGACAGGAGAAATGCGCCTAGAATCTTAGGTCATTTACAGTCTGGGAACTAAAAATGATGTGAAGAAACCAAATGTTCCTAAGACCAGTTGCCAGTTTAAAACATACATGAACAGCTTGGACTTTTGTATGCATTTTAAAATTGCATATATTTCAAAAGAAATTCATCATCGGCTTCAGTTAGGAAAGGGGGCGGTCTGGGCATCTTTAAGCAGCCACCCACACTATCTGTAATCCTAATACAGTTGCTAAACGTTGATGGAGGAGTTCACAGAACTCAGCTCATACCTGCAATCTAGCTGCTCTGTCGTCTGAATAAAGATGGCCACTGTGCTGACTCTCTGTCCCCCCGCTTCTCCTGGAGCTAGGTACTGCACTTGGCCCTGAGGTGGCAGACTTGTTAGAGACCATGTTCTTTGTAGTCACTTCCTGTGTGCCCTCCCAGGCTGGTAGCCCTTACCTTGGGCAGTAATCCCTGCTCACCGGCAGGCCCAAGAGCATGGCAGGGAGGGTTTGTATTTGCCGTCTCAGATAAAAAGCTCCAGTCTGGGCAGTCTGTGGATCTTGGTTGATGGACAGTCTGACAGGACCCAAAGGATGTGGCCAGGAGGTTCCTCGCTTTTCACAGCCCATGACTGCACTGTCTCCTAGCCAGGCTTTTAAGTGATTGTAAATCGGCAGGAGGAGAGGAGAGGTAGATACTGTACACACACAGCCCGGCCTAGAACGGCAGAACCATGCCATCGTTGCTTGGGTGGCCCAGGCATCGGGTTAGAGGATCACAGAAGGAACATTTCATTTTGCATCTGAAATCTCCTCATTCAAGAGGCAGGACTGGTAGTAGTCCCTTCTCCAGAGAACTTTCCTCAGAGCTGGAGTTTTTCCTCAGCTGAGAGCTCCTGCTCTCATGACATGAGCTGCTGGGTGACTCAGAAGCGTGTGCCTGCCTCAGCCCTTTTGATCAGTCTTTATGGGGCACCACCTGTGTTAGCTCATGTGCGTGCACGCTGCACCCGCTCAGACTTCAACACCGCCATCAGGGGTCCTTAGAAAACAGACTTCAATACTGAGGTTTTATTATTTGTATAGGTTTTCCAAAATCATATTTGTGTGTGTGTACATACATGTGTGGGCATGCACATGCTATGGCCTGCATGTAGGAATAACAGGACAACTGCAGGCTTCAGTGATCTCCCTCCCGTGGATCAAACTTAGGGTGTGAGGCTTGGTGGCAAGGCCGAGCCATCTCAGGAGCCCTGCACAGATCTCGAGCACATAAAGTGACCTGTCATATGGCATGGACAGGGTAAGCACCAGGCGGGGCTTTAGGGCCCCTTTGTTCATCATGTGCTTGGGATTGGGTACCCCAGAGAGCTCAGAGTAACTGGAGAGCAAGCTTGTTAAAACAATGTTCCAAAGGAGGTCAGCACGGAAGGACAAGAGACCCCAGAGGAGGAGCCATGAGAAAGCAGAAGGCTGACTTAAACGATGAAAATTAGCTGATGAGTATTGTTTGGTTGACATTTCAGGGACTGAAATGGATTTACAATCTTGATCTGAATCAAAGGTCAAGGACCAGACAGAGCATGTGTGTGCTGCCTCATGAGATAATCCTCATCAGCTGGACTTACCTCTGATGACCTAAAGACACAGGTGCACACATTTTCCCAGGATGTTCTTGGACTCGAGGGAAGGATAGAAAACCCTGCTGATAACATCCACAGGCCTTTTAGGGAGAGACTTCAGTTTCTTGGCCCACTGCCCAGGCCACGATCCACTTCCAGATGAGCCAAAAAGGCACATGGAGAGACTGCCCATGCTAGGTGCTTTCTGTCTGTCTGTCTGTGGTTCACAGTTGCTAAGTCCCTGTCATTAGGCACCTCAGGTCCAGGTTTTGGAAAGCCCACCAGAGAAGCAGGTTGGAGCTTTTTCGGCTAGGCAGCTGCAGGTGTCTGTAACGCCCAGAAGTGTTCTCTCTCTCCTGTGTCTGGCCCTTCACATGTGTTCAGTACCCAGCTTTTGGCCCAGGGAGTGTGCTCAGGCAGATGTTAGCCCTGCATTGGGTGGACATCTCATGCTATACCCCATCAAATGTCTGTCCGTGCCTGCTGGTCCTGAGCATCTGTCACGTGGTTCTTCTCCATGTAATGCTAGTGGTAAAACTGGTTTCGAACTCATGGAAGAGAAAGCTGCTGGTGGCAGTTTCAGAGGTGATCAGTTGTGGTTACTGGCACCAAGGGTTTATTCCCTCTCTGTATTCCTGGTGTCTCCTGCAGTTCAGCAAGGCTGTCAAGCTCCATTTCCCCACTGACAAACACACTGTGGACTTGGGCATCTTAACCGTCGTGGAGGGATGCTGCCAGACTGCCAGCAAGGAGGGGCTGGCAGCCACATCAGCTGTTCCCACATCATCTCATAATCCGGGAATCGTCTGTGACCTTTCCATCTGATGTTCAGAGTACTGCCATTGTATCTTTCAGATTAACTTCTTCAAGAGAGGAGCAGAGATGTTCTCCAAAAGTATGGACGGTTTCTTGTCATCCGTTACAGGCATGGTTCAGAGGTAACGCTGCTCTCGGGCTAGGCCGTGGGTCCCCTTTGTCTTCCCACTGAGTCACCCTCACCCTGTAATCGTCACCTAGCAGGCAAGCTCCCAGCTTGAAAACGTGGTACTTCCCATGGAGTCCAAGTGCTCACAGTGCCTGAATCGCCTTTGTTAGTGTTTAGGTGTCACATGCTGTGAGCCTGAGAGCAGTGTGGATTAGCTTGCCCTCTGCGGTGATGGAATCAGCCACGGCAACAGCTCCACTTTCAGGGAATTCTAGGGTCATACTAGCTCACAGTAGACCAGCAAGATGCCAAGCCTTTGTGTTTACGTCGGCGAGCTGCAGTTGAGCCGTGGGGTGCACATTGCAGTCCTCAGATGGTCTTCTGGGCTCGGGAGGGCTGCCCCGGCTCCTGCCTCTTCCCTCTGCCGCAGCCCCAGATAGGAGCTCTGAGGTGGCTCGTGGTTTCTCTCTGCACATGAGTATGTCACTCTAATACCTATTACGACGGCTGTGTGTTGGGGGTGGGCAGGTTAGAGTTGAAGAGTTGGAAGGTGGGAGGAGGAGTCAGGAAGTCAGACTGGGGCACATGAGGCCCCCCGTTCAGAACCTCTCACCCTACCCCCAAAGAGGGGCAACCAAGTGAAAATAATGAAAATGGAATCTACTTCATTTGGGAAAATGAGAACATTCTCTTGAAGCTGTTACATTTCAGATAGCTTAAGAGACCTAGCAGGAATTTACCCAAGCAGAAGTTCATGAAAGGTTCTGATGACGAGGAGTGAACCCTGAAGAACCAGTGTGAACTCTGGCCTCCATGGCTGGGTCAGGAAGCTGTGTTCTTCGGGAAAGCCAGGCCCTGGGCTTACCCAGTGACCAGCAGCAGGGGTAGAGCCAGGCCAGACTTAACAGTGATGCCAGAGACGTCTGTGACATCACCTTGTCCCCTGGACATCACAGAACCTGTCACTCTATAAGGGGCCCATTCTCATCTCTCAAGTCTGAAGTTTTGTTTTGTTTTGCTTTGCAGACAGGTCTCACTTTGTAGCTCTGGCTGGCCTGGAACGCTACCTCCTGGGATGAAAGGTGTACATCACTATTCCTGGCAGAGAGCTGATTTTTTTCTTAGCACTTGAATTTCACGCCAGTGAGCAAATACCACCACTGTTCTTCGGGCATGGGGACCTGTGCTGTTGCATTTTATGCAGGTGCAGCCCACCCACATGAAGCCCTTGGGCAGCATCTGGTGCTGACACTAAATCTCTGCATTCCTATAAGGGACACTCACCTAGATGAGCTGAGAGCTGGGTGGAACAGCCAGGCTGAGAGAAGATAGATCCTGGGCACGGAGTGTGAGAATCTAGTCAGCGTGACTTTGCTGCACGAGTCTGCCCAGCTCCTCCTGCCCACCCTGGTTCTGTCTCTTGTGACCTTTCGTGAAGTGGGGCTCCTTGTTTCTAGTTTGCATTCTCAGCTGTGGGGACCATCTGGGAATTTCTGTCCTAGACTTTATAACCTACACCTGTCCTCAGTAGGCGAGAGTCTGGTGAGGCCAAAAGAGGAGTAGTTTCTGTTCAAAGCAAAAGTTCCAAGTTTTCTACATGTCGGCACACAGCACGTGAAGCCAGGCAGGGCTATCACACCAGAGCCTAGTCACCGGCCCCTTTCTCTGTGAGCAGTTCTTGCCCAGTTCTTGTCCAAGGTCTCAGGACAGTCCTTGGCTTGTTGTTGTACTTTGACTCTCATAGCCTCCTCAGATCCTGAGCTAGGCAGTGGTGTTGCGCTCCTTCCCTTAGGGGTGATAGGCTGCCTGTGTGTAGACCCTGAGGGTGGGTTCCCAGAGCAGCTCCTAGGTCTGAGTATGACCCCTGAACCAGTGTTCTAGAGTGGCAGGCTTGTATCACTCCGGTAAAGCAGCTCTCTGGACCCAAGTAGAGGGTGGATAGCTGTGCCCCATGGAAGGCTGGCGGCTCCATCTGTAATGTGGGAAGTCTCAGTGGGTAAAGCAGGCCCTGCCCCCTTGTGGTGAGTTGTCCTGTGGAGAGTGACTGACCTGGACCCTTCTGTCTGAAGCATTCAGGTGGAACTGGAAGCTGAGGCAGACAAGATGCGCGTGTCCCAGCAGGAGCTGCTTTCGGTCGATGAATCTGTTTACACTCCGGACAGTGATGTGGCCACACCACAAATCAACAGGAACCTCATCCAGAAGGCTGGCTACCTCAATCTCAGAAAGTGAGAACACCACGCAGCCTTTGGCTGAGCTCACCCTTCCCTGGGAAGTGGCCCCGGGGTCAGTTTCTCATGTCACCAGTGAGGCCTGTGGGTGGTAGTGGGCGACAGACCTGACACTGAGACAAAGCTGACAACAGTATCCTGGACTCCAGGGGCTACAGGCCACCTGGTTTAGACTTCATGGTCATTGTTGTCGCTACAGGCATTGAGTCATAGTCCTGGGCCCCTGCTGGCTGAAAGGTAAGAGCAATGCCACAGAGCCTGTGCTGAGGCAAGATCAGTTAGATTTCTTCAGGTTGGATTGTACCTGTCACGATCATGTCTTTAAATGTCCACCTGCTTCTAAGATCCCAAGAGGCTGCGGCCTTCAGGTGTGGAGCGCACTGGTGTTGGTGGTGGATTCCTGTCTAGGATGCATGAGTCCTGCTTCACTGCTGTTGACTGAGCTCTTGTTTGTGGGGGGCCCTCCAGGGTTAGCAGTTGCTGTGTAAATAATAATTTTGGAGCAAGACCCACAGTGCCTTGCACATAGTTGCTATTTAGTTAATAGTAAACTAAGTCTATCATTAGGCTTATCTGAGAAATTGCCAGCTCTTTTCTGCAGGTGAAGCCTCTCCCAGGCCTATCAGTGTGAGACTATCAATGTTCCCATTAGTTCTGTGCCAGGGAGGAGCCGCTCCACAAAGTTATGACACTTTTGCCAAGAAGCTGCATTTTCCTCATGTATGCAGCCCACCAAATGGGTAGAGCCCCAGGATTGGGGGAGAGGCGCTGTGACCCCAGGACTAGTAGAATCAGAACAGTTTATTCTACACCCTGGGGAAAGGATGCAGGCTTTGGTTCCTCATTGTGATGAATGGGTCCTAGTTAGCCTGCTGGGTTTGGAGGCCGACGGTAGGCATATGTGCCTGCAGTGCTGGCTTTGGCGCGGTCACTCCTCACAGGAACAGAGCCGTCTTCCTAGTGACTTAGGCTGTGTTTCTGCCACTGTTCATGGCATGAGTTTCAGAGTTTTCGTTTAATGCAAAGACATTTCTAAATCACGCCAGTTTCTAATAACGGGCAGCATGGTATGGAGGGTATCCCGTGCTCTAGTGCTAATGGATCTCCACACACAATCCCCACAGCAAGACAGGACTGGTCACCACCACCTGGGAGAGGCTGTACTTCTTCACGCAAGGCGGGAACCTCATGTGCCAGCCCAGGGGAGCCGTGGCCGGAGGCCTGATTCAGGACCTGGACAACAGTTCTGTGATGGCCGTGGACTGCGAGGACCGGCGGTACTGCTTCCAGATCTCCACGCCCAGCGGCAAGCCGTACGCTCCGTGTCTCACTTGGGTGAACAGTGTCGGAACTGCCCTGACAGGAAGAAGGCTCCTGGCCCAGGTTGCCATGCGCCAGTCCTCCACGGGAGAGGCCACGCTGCAGGGCCTCCCAAGGATGGTTTCTAGTTCTCTGTAAATAGAGACAGTGACCATTTGGGCTCAGCTCACCTTGTTCAGGACCCCGTGAGGATCCAGCTGTGTCTTGGGAGAGGAGGGGACGTGGATAGGACAGATGTAGCAGGTGGTGCTTGTCAGATAGATCTGAGAAAGCTGGGACTGCCCTGTTTCAGAGCAAGGCTCAGGAAACTGTCCAAGAAGTCCATTTTACATCTGGAACATTCTCTACAGAAGGCATTTAACCACAGTCCCCAAACCTTGAGAACTTGCAGGCCCAAAGGCGATACCTGAAAATGTGTAGCCTGTAGCTGTCACAGTGGGTCTTACCCTATTGGTTTCCTTCATATAGGGCACTGTTTCAGTTTGTATGTAGGGTTCTAAATCCTAGGAAATACCTCAGGCTTTGCCTGCCTAGAAGGTAGTGGTGGGAATGGTGGGAGCCTGTGGGCCACCCCTTCCCCAAGTTAGAGCAGTTAGACACCGTTCTTCCTGACAATGGCCAGTGGCTCAGGACTAAGATGCCCAGATTCTAGTGGTCCCATGTCTTCCCAGATACACAGATGGCATCAGTGTTCCTCTACCAGAGCTCCTGAGAGCTGAGGCCACCATAAAGGTGGAACATCCTTGGTGTATGGACTTTCAATGCTTGAATATACGCTAGGTCCTTCCTCAAAGAAGGACAGGGGGCAGGTAATGGCCTATCTTGGATCACCTAGGAAGAGCATCAAGACAATTCTCATTTGTAGTCAGGCTAGATGATCCAGGTCCAGTCTTCTCACGTACAGAAGAGAACGCGGTCTGGAGATAATATGTCCCACTGAAGGGCCAGGCCAACAGCCGCACTTTCCTTCCATCCCGACACGCTGCTTTCCTGAGGCCAAGTTGTTAGCGAACATCTCCTTAGTCCCGAGACCTGGGAAGCACTGATGCATCTTGTTTGTTTCAGGGGGATAATTCTCCAAGCAGAGAGCAGAAAGGAATACGAAGAGGTAAGGCTCTGTCTGTCTCACCCGTCCTCCTGGGATGAGCAGCTGGGTTCAGTGTTCTTCCTAATGTCCTCCACAGTGGATATGTGCGGTCAACAACATCTCAAGGCAGATCTACCTGACGGACAACCCAGAGGTAATTGGCACCTGCCTGCACTCCACTGCAAGGTAGGTGTCCCTTCCCCGACTGAGCGTTGTGTTTTGTGGCTTACACATAGGCCGTAGCCATCAAGCTGAACCAGACGGCTCTTCAGGCGGTGACTCCAATTACAAGCTTTGGGAAAAAACAAGAAAGCTCTTGCTCCAGGTAACTAAAGGACAGGGAAAATGACCCCGTGGAGCCGAACTGCTAGGAATCTGAAATGAGCTGTCCCAGCCCTCACAACCCCAGATTCCACTGCACCCTGTACCACAGCAGTTGTTGTGGAAATGCACCCACATCCACAGCACAGGTGATGGGCGGAGCCAGTACTCAACCTGATTTCAGGATGCCTGTCCAGTCTACTGGGCCAGACCTCAGTACGAGACAGACGTGCATCCTGGCCAGTGGCCCTACGAGGGCAGGGTAGCCCTCGTCCCCTTGCGTGTGTCCATGTTCCTGCTTGAGCCTTTTCTGCATAGATGGGCATTTTCATAATTCTTTCAATAAGTCTATCACTTGTTTATTAGCATTGAATATTTTGCTATTCTGTTGAGGTGTGGTAACCTGGGCTGCCTCAGCCCCTCAAGTGCTGGAGTTACAGGCATCCCGTTACATCTGGTTTTGCTGTTCTCATTAACCCAGCATGCACACAGCTTCCTTTGAATACGGCTTAAAGATGTATTCTAGGACTCCTGTTTATTCCCGGCTGCCCAGACCACGAAATAACCACACAGAAACTATAGTATTTGCAATACTCTTTGACCAATAGCTTAAGCGTATTTCTGGCTTATTATTATATCTCAAATTAACCCACTTCTATTAATCTGTGTATTGCTACGTGGCTGTGGCTTACTGGCAAGGTTCTGGTGGGCTCCAGAGGTGTCTTTCCCCAGTGGTGGCTATGTGGCATCTCTCTGTTGAAACAAAAGAACCCCTTTTCCAAAGCAACAAATCCTTAGACCCAAAGTCTGAAGTCATAATACCTTTAAAATACATATGTATGCTGGTTTAGCTTAGCAGCCCACACAATGAAATGTCTCTCTTTACTTAGCTCATTCACAGTCCAAAAATTCAAAGAAAACACAATAATACACATAATTCAGATTCTGTATTTTCCATCTTTTCATGGCTTATTTTTCTTTACTCCTTTTAATCTATGACTGTTGTCTGTACTCTTCTTTTTAAAGACTTTTATTTTTTTAAATGTCTTCTTATAACTCTCTGTGCTTTTTCTTCTCTCCCAAGCCTACATATATTTATCCAACACTGTTGTGACCCATTTAGAGGTTGTTTTTTTATTGTGTATCTGCAGTTATTTTCTGACCAGTGACTCCTGTGTTTGTCTCTGGGAGTTATCATGCAGTTAGGTGGCAGGGGTGGTCTTACCTGTTGTGTTTTGTCTCTGGGACTTATCACGTAGTTAGGTGGTAGGGGTGGTCTTACCTGTTGTGTTTTGTCTCTGGGACTTATCACGTAGTTAGGTGGTAGGGGTGGTCTTATCTGTTGTCAGTGGCATCAAGCAGCATGTGAGAATCAAGACTCTGTCATTATTGGCATGGTAGAACTCCACCAGATGTTCGACATAGTTTTCTAAGCACTTCCTTTTAGGCCATTAATTAATCCCTGGGTTCGTGCACTTGGCATTGGGTATATGAGAAAGAATGATAGTTAGGCCAGCAGATAGATTTGAGTCATTGTAAAAGCCTTGGTGACCCCTGCCCAGGAATGACAGGCCGTGGGGACAAGGTTGAGGGGTTAAGGGGCAACAGACAGAACCAGGTTTACAAAAATGACTGTGCATCTCCCATAGGATGAACTGGATATGGTGGCTGGGGGTGAAGGGAGGGAGAGACAGGACTGTCTCCAGGCTGGCATCTTTGGTTTCTAGCCACATTTCACTGGGTAGACCATCTGTCAGATCGCCGCTGCAGTTTCCATCAGCACATGTGAGAAGTCATTAAGGGCTTACGGTCCAGACCGTGTTTGACTAGAAGTGCTGTGACATTCTGTGCCTTTCTGAGGCACCTGCACTGCACCTTCAGAAGGATTTCTAACCTTGAGGAGAAAAGGCACAGTGCAGGACAGGCTACCCACCATGCGAAGAGTGCACTGCTTCTCCTGGCTGTCTCTGTGGATGCATGTGAGCCACAGTGCAGTGTTCAGGAGGCATACAGGGTACCAGATGCTGTGATGACTGAGAAGGCTTAGTGGTGTAATCTGAGCTGGTCACAGGAAGACTTAGAATTGCGCTATACAGAAGCAAGGAATACGTGGTATGTCTCTGCCAGGTGGAGGGTGAGCGGAAGGGGGGTTTCAGGAAAGAACAGCCAGGTTGCAATGTTGGATTCAGACATCTTGTTCTTTCAGCTCACGTTTTCAGAGCCTGTGGTATGTCAGTGTGTAAATGTGAACAGCCTGTAGTCTCACTCCAAAAACCCAGTCTCTAAGTCCTAACACTGCCCAGAATGTTGAGCAGCGGAGGGCCTGGAGGCGGTAAAGAGGTGAAGGGTCTTTGGCCAAGGACGGTAAGTTGACGACTGTAGAACGGACTGAGACTAGCTGAAGCTTGCTTTTATTTCAGTATGTAAGTCACATCAGCACTAAACAGTGATTCAACTTGCTCAATTTCTTTTTTTTTTTATATTTTAGTCAAAACATGAAAAATTCAGACACAGAAAATGACAAGACTGTTCCCCAAGCAGCAGGCAGCGCTCCTGACACAGAGGAACTGATTGCACCAGGGACACCCATTCAGTTTGATATTGTACTTCCTGCATCAGAATTCCTCGATCAGAACAGGGGCAGCAGGTATGGCCTCAGGCCTTGGAAAGTGAAAGCCAGATTGTGTCTTTACTCACCACCAAGGACTCTACTACTGTGCCAGCCTCAGCCCAAGGGCTCAGGTGCTGAGCTCTTGTTAGCTGCTGCTCGCTGTCAGGACTGCTGACCTCTGGCTGTTCCTTCCCCTAGGCGCACCAACCCTTTCGGTGAGACGGAGGACGCGTCCTTCCCTGAAGCAGAAGGTAGGTGCCCAGAGGTGCTCCTGCTCATGGTGCTGAAGGTGGGAAGTCATGTGCTAGAACTAAGGTGCAGCATAGGAACTCAGACCTGACCTTCCAGTTTGTTCTGAGAAAACCTGGACCAAGGGAAAGGCATTATGGCTGTCTACACTTTGGCTATAACATCACCTTTTTGAAGTACCTGCCCAGAAAACGATCACATCTAAATATAAAGCAGATTTTCAAAGAGGGAAAACTGGTCATAATTAAAATAGAATCTTAGTAGCTGAGGTGGTAGCAGATATCTGTAGTTCCATCAGTAGGAAAGCTGAGACAGGAGGATTACTGAGTGCAAGGACTAATTAATTCAGATTCTGAAGTCTCAGACTGTTCCAATGATACCCCTCACGTGTAATACCTAAGAATTTGCAGGAGAGGAGATGGCTCAGGGATCACTTGCTGCTCTAGCATTCAGTTCCTGTAACCCACACGGCAGCTCATATCATTGTAACCCCAGCTCCAGAGGACCCAGCGCCCTCTTCTGCACTCTACACACACCAGGCATGCACAGTGTACACACAAACATGGTTGGAGAGAGGACTCAGCATTAGGAGCATTAGTATTCTTGCAGAGGACCCCAAGATGGGTTTGGTTCCCAACACCTGTATAGCCTGCTTTGACTTCCTGTAACTCCAGTTAAGGGATCTGATACCATCTCTGGCTTACATAAGCATACACACGTTATACATACACGCAAGCAAAACCTTATACACGTAAAGTAAAGATAAACCTTAAAAGTTTGGGTAAACATTGCCTTTGTATCAACAACCTGTGCTGAAAAGTGGGCTTAGACAGCTCCATGCACTTGGCTGACTCTGCCCAGTCCAAGCAGTACCTCGGACTCAGGTGGATGAGATGGAGCATGCCCAGTAATCCCAGAGCTGGAATCAGTGAGCTAAAGGCCAACCTAGTCTACACAGCATGACCCTGCCTCAAATGCATCAAACTGTATATATAAAACTAACTCCAGACCTGCGCATGGTGGCCCACACCTTTAATTCTAGCACTAGGGAAGCAGAGGCAGGTGGATCTCTCTGAGTTTGAGGCCAGCCTGGTTTACAGAGCGAGTTCCAGGACAGCCAGCGCTACAGAGAACCCTGTCTCGAACAAACAAGAGAGTAAGACCCGGGGCCTCACCTGTTCTCAGGTCCTGATGTTAGCCCTCAGTCAGCACGTTATGTGATCCTGAGTGAGTGTGTTCTTGCAGATTCTCTTCTACAGCAGATGTTCATCGTTCGGTTTTTGGGATCAATGGCAGTTAAGACAGATCACACTACCGAAGTGATTTATGAAGCAATGAGACAAGTCCTGGCTGCTCGGGCTATCCACAACATCTTCCGCATGACAGAGTCCCATCTGATGGTTACCAGTCAAACTCTGAGGTACGTTCTGTATACTTCATACCTGATTTCCTGTGTAAGGAATATTTACCTGTCTGGAATGGTAATGTTTGATATTCAGAATAAAAGATGCATACTTAGCAAGAACTGGCAGGGTGTAGTAACACACAAGTGTGATCCCAGCGTGTGGGAGACGGGAGCAGGACTGATGCCAGCACAGACCTTGTCTTCAGAGTCCTGTTACAGCCAGGCAGCAGGGGCACACGCCTTTAATCCAGCCCTTGGGAGGGAAAGGCGGGCGGATCTCCGAGTTAGAGGCTAGCCTGGTCTACAGAGTGAGTTCCTAGACAGCCAGGATTGTTACACAGAGAAATCCTGTCTCTGTTCTTGGTGACTGTCAACTGAGTATTCCTTACTGAAATGCTGTGACAGAAGGGTTTCTGACTTTGGTTTTTTCAAATTTGTACATCCATATAATGATACCTTGCAGATGGGGCCCAAACTTACACACAATTTGTACATTATACACGTAGCCTACAGGAACTGTTACTATACATTATACACGTAGCCTACAGGAACTGTTACTGCACACAGTATTAACAATTTAGCACAGGCACCAAGGTTTCACGGTGTGGGGTTTTTGCTGTGGTGTCATGCCTGCACATTCCCAGTTACAGAGTTGTCAGGTTAGGGTGTCCAGCCTCGACTATCCCCAATGACGCCACTGCCGTGCAGTCACCTCAGACATTAACAACAGAGACTGTGAAGCTGTCTAAAATAAAAATAACCCAACTGCCAGAAGAAACTCTGGAGGCCAGAGAAGGATGGCAGCATCTGCTCCTATTGCCCTCCACCATAGTTCTTAAGTCTCAATGAGCTGGCAGCAGGCTCCCAGGACCGACCTGTGTTCAGCCTCACTAGAAGCTGAAGTTAAAGGTTCATGCAGCCACACCCAGCTTTTAACACTGGTGCTGGAGTTCCCACAGAGCAAGTGCTCTTACCCACTGCATCATCTTCAGAGAAGCACAGCCGCACACAGAACCTTACTGGCCTCTCACCATTCCTCCTTTTTCTGAGGGGAATGGAGGACATGTTTCCGTGCTTCAGGGCATTAGAGTTGCTAGTGTCTAGATGGAAGGAAACCAGAACACGGTCCACCCATTTTACATATCACAGGACATGATTCACCCATGCTATACATCAGAACTACAGAAACCACAATGTTGAATCTCAGGCCTCGACTGTTCTATCTGCTGTGGTGTAGGGGAATGTGGTACAGTAGTGGTGTTGGGATATCCTGACTTATTGGGAAGCCAGGATATACTTAGAGCTGCAATAGGACAGCTCGGCCCTGGAGGAAAGATGTCCTGACTATCCGGAAGCCAGGCTACCTGAAGCTGAGGTGCAGTTGATGATGGTCTCCCCGCAGGATACAGGGATCCTGCTCCTCTCCTGGAGAGCCACTACAGCTGGGCTCTGCTCTCTTTCCTTAAGGGAGTGCCTAGCAGCTGTCTCCTTCTCCAGCCCAAGATGTTTCTTCTGCTCTCTGCTAAGGGAAGCCCCCTGCAGAAATGTAGCAAATTTTTTTTTTTTAACTCTAATCTTAGGACCAGGGCATATTTCTTTCACTGGCTCTGATTCTAGAGACAAAGCATGTTTCTTTGGCACTAGTTTCAGAGCCAGGGCACATGTCTTTAGTCCTGGGTTCAGGGGTAAAGATGTTTCTCTCCCTGGCCCAGGTCTCAAATTCAGGATGTTTCTTTCTCTGACTCTGGGTTTAGAGTCAGGGCGCTCAGAGATTGGTCTGTTTCCTGCTCCAGGTGTCCCTTTTACCCCACACCAGGTACCTTGGCTTTAACATACTTGTTCAGCAAAGGCAGAAACTGCAGCACAGGTTCACGTAGGACTGTGTCATCTTTCCCTGAACCAGGCCTTGCCATTTCATGATAACCTGTAAACTCAGAGTGTGACACTGTGTGTAGTAACAAGTCTCTTATAATTTCAGGTTGATAGACCCTCAAACTCAAGTGTCAAGAGCCTGCGTAAGTACCTGCTCCATCTTCACGTTGATGATTACACCTTCGTTCTCCTCTGTCCCCTGTAACACAGCCTCCTTCTTTAGCTGTTTTACAGAGAATAGTTGTACTGGTTTGTAAATTCCAGTTGTGTAATTATTCATTCTGTCCCGTCCTGTTCCCCTCCCCTCAAGTTTGAACTTACCAGTGTCACACAGTTTGCTGCTCATCAAGAAAACAAGAGACTGGTTGGCTTTGTCATCCGAGTGCCGGAGTCCACCGGAGAAGAGTCCCTGAGCACATACATTTTTGAAAGCAACTCAGAAGGCGAAAAGGTGTGTCTGTCTGTGTCTGTCCATCTCTGCCCTCCCACACCCATCTCAATAAGGCTATTTTTAATGGGTTTGGGTTTTGACTATCCATCTTAATATCTAATTGGCTAATTATCCATGCCTCCATCCAGATATTCAGACAGTAATAGCTTCTAGGAAGGCCCCACCTAAAGACAACAACGCTAATAGCTGTAACATACAATCGCCTAGTGCCACGAAATGCTAAAAGGTACCTCTGTTCTTTTAAAGCAGTGGTTCTCAATCTTCCAAATGTTGTGACCCTGTTGTAACACAGTTCCTCATGGTGTGGTGACCCCCAACCATAAAATTATTTTTGTTGCTACTATGTGACTAGTTTTGCTACAGTTATGATTCATAACGTAAATACGTTTTTCAGTCATCTTGTGGCCCTGTGAAAGGGCTGTTTGATACCCCAAGGGTGGCCCACATGTTGAGAACCACTGTTTTTAAATAAATTAAAGCAAAAGTTACAATAGAAAATAGTCTCGGAGGAGACCAAGGAAAGAACATCAAAACTGTTGTTTTGTATGGAAAACCAGTGAACTCATCCGGTATACACAATTTCTCAAAACCAGACCGTTCACTGAGTACTTGTGTGTATAAAGATGCAGGGGGAAACACCCTGCTAAGAAGTGTGAACAGGGCAGTAACCTGTCTAACAGTGCCACTGAGCATGGGCCCCGCAGCCAGCAGCCTCGCTGCTCTTCAGAACACACCTTTCCTACCTTTGCCCAACACCATTTCTCTTGTCTCTTACAGATATGTTATGCTATCAATTTGGGGAAAGAAATTATTGAGGTCCAAAAGGTAAGCTGCATTTTAGTACTGGTTAGTAACTCTCAAAAGACATTAGACATAGTAGGACAGCCACTCTGTGCTAACGCTGGATTCCTCTGTCTGCTAACACATCCTCCCTGACTGACAGCACTGCTGCAGCTGCTGCATTAACTTCCTTGCTTGCACCCAGCCTGGCTAGAGCTCTTCTTTCAAGTTAAGATTCAGTACTCAGTTCCAACGTAAAGGTGCTCATCACCTGCCCAGCCGAGAACCTAGAGAAATGAACAGAGACCTCCGTGTTGTCCAGGAGCGAATAATCTCCCACTGATCAGAAAAGCTCCTGAAGTGATCTTTACACTTCAAACGAGCGTGCAGTGCTGTAGGTCAGAAGTGTGCGCACTTGCCGTGAAGGACTCTCCTGAGCCTTGCTGCAGTCTGATGACTCAATTCCACTCGTACAAAAACCCCCACGAGCAGTACGAGGACAGATGTGCACAGGGGGCTCCTGTGCAGCTTTTGCCAACTCCTGGTACATAATTAAAAGACACAGACACAATGGCTTGAAGATGTGCAAGAAAGCTTTCTGAAGGGCTGCCCTGTAGACTCTAGAGGAGGACAGCTATAGGTCGGGCACATCAGTCATGCTCCTATAACAGGAAAGCCAGCTTAGCATCTACAAGTCATCCCCATGAGTTCCTTCCGATGGGGTTGCAGCCCAGAACACTGAAGGTCAAGCCGCAAGGGTCTAAGTGCATCTTAAGCTTTTCTTTTTCCCCCATCTTAAACTCTCTTAACTTCAGGACCCAGAAGCACTGGCTCAACTAATGCTGTCTGTACCACTAACCAATGATGGAAAGTATGTACTGTTAAACGACCAACCCGATGGCACTGGCGGAAGCCCAGGTGACAGCAGAGGCGCAGAATCGGAAGCATAACTCCCTGGGGCATCTGGGGTCAGAGCACTTGGGAAGGAGAGCTACCTCCTTAAGGGTTTTCAACCTCTCTGACGTGCAGGCACACTGACCTGATTTCAGAATGCTGACAGTCACATGTGGAATGTAGCCTTGGATGCCCTGACACAGAAACTTGGGAGGGAAGCAGTAAGAAATGGGTGGCGTCATGCTTACCCACCTACAAATGCTATTTTAGGTGCTCTGTGGTAAGTCTTCGTTCCAGACTGTGCTGTTGGGTACCCAGCATGAGAACTATAAAAATGCAGTGTTCACTTTACATGGATGGGATCACTTCCGTTTCTACGATCCTTTTCTAAAAAAGACAAAGTCCTGGATCTACAACATTAAATACTAAACAGTTCCTATTAATATGGTCTATTTTTGTATCTTACATAGTTGTAAGTGCCTGCCACTCTGAAGCTGTATCCCCGGACCTCATGGCATTGCTCTGCACTTGGTCTCAAACATTAGCAGAGACGGCCACTCTTCACACACTCTTCACAACAGGACTTTCTGAACCAGCTTTCATTCTCTTAAATGTGGCTACTTTTTGTGGCTACTCACTGTGAGCAAGGGACAGCCCCACTAGTTCCTCTTCTTCTGAGCCAGACCTTCCTCAAAGGGACCAATTAATTTTAGAACTCATTTGAAGCTCACCTGGCAGTGGGGCTCAGGGTGAAGTTCTGTTTCTACCCTGATGGTTCTGGTTCCTGGAGTTTCAGACCAAGTCCAACCTGCTAATTATGAAGTAGAGATAAAGATCTTGAAATATACTTAATTGTAACCAGCTTTATCAACCTATCTTTGTAATAATTTAGCAATAAAAATGACTGTTTTATCTCTTTCTGTGCTTACTGTGGTTAGTTTATAGGCCATCCCTAGAAGAAAACTAAAGTCTTGCTCTGTGGCCCAGGCTGGCCCTGCAGTCCTGCCTGCTTCTACGTTCTAGAATAGAGATGCTGTCATGTCTGGATGTCAGGGACAGCAGCACACCTAAATCTTCCACACTTGGGGCTGAAGGAGAATGAGTTCAAGGCCAGCTTGGGCCATGTGTGGACTTGAAAGCAGCCCAAACTAAACAAAATACTGTCTAAAACAACACGGCGTTCACATAAGTGCTTGCTGACCAAGCAAAGGACCTTAGCGGAGCTTGCTGGCTGTCTAGTCTAACATCACTTTACTCCAATAATTCGGAAGTTCCATTTTAGAGAGAGCCGAGCCTGTCTCAAAATTAAATAAACAATATTGCTCAAGGATAGGATCATTTCAGGTTCCCTATTCTCAACTGCCCAAGGAACTAACCGGGGACCTCAGCTTGGGCACCTGGGAGCCCCTCTAGGGTCAGGTCTCTTGCCAACCCTAAAGTGGTTCCCTTAACTAAGAATTGTGGTTCCGTGCTCCCCTGTCCAACCTTCCTTTATCCCAATCCTCCTGCTTTCCCAAGGCCCGACCTCCTTCCCTTCTAACTTTTCTCTCCCCATCTCCCCTTACCCCTAACCCACCCCACCCCAAGATCCCAATTTTCTCCCCGGCAATTTTGACTACTTCCCTTAGCCAAGAGGATAACTATATGTTTTTCCTTGGGTTCCCCTTCTTACTTAGCTTCTTTAGATTCACCTATTGTAGACTCCGTGACCCTTATTTATGGTTAGAAACCAATTATGAGTGAGTACATCCCATGTTCATCTTTTTGGGAGGTCCTAGGTCTTACCACAGGGCAGAAAACCCTGACTGCTCTTTGGACTGGAGAGGGAGGGGGAAAGGAGTGGGGGGAGGGGGAGAAGGGTGGGAGGAGGGGGCGGGAAATGGGAGGCTGGGAGGAGGTGGAAACTTGTTTTTTTTTTTCTTTTCTCCTTTTCTCAATAAAAAAAAAAAATTAAATAAAGTGGAGAACAACAGAGGAAGAACCAAATATCATCCCCTGGAATGCAGATGTGCGCACACACACATGAACACCTACACATGCATAGACATCATCCCCTGGAATGCAGATGTGCGCACACAAACATGCATAGACACAAAGAGGAGTCAGAAGGACCCTACCTTTAGATATGTGCAGCAGGTTCTGATAGCTGGCCTCAACTAACCTGAGTCTATAGCCTAAAATGAGCTCACAGGTACCTCACACGTTTCGGTAACCACCGTTCGGTCTGGGTTTCTGATGGGTTGTGAGACTGACACTCTTCTACACCTTCCTTGCTTAAAACTTTCCAGAGGGGTCAGAGATGTAGCTCAGTGATAACTGAGTTGAAAACAAAAGCAATAGGGCTTTAGCTCAGAGGCACAGCATCTGCCTATCATGAACGAATATGTCCTTGGGTTCAATGGCTAGTACTGTATACAGCAAACACCCACTAAAGCACTATACTGACTGGTTAAAACAAGCCATGCAAACCCTGAGATAAAAAGACAAGATGGACAGAATGGAAACATTAACCGAGGAGAGACAACCAAACAAGACCCAAGGACCTAAATATATAAAATATTTGTCAGGACAAAGAATTTCATAGATTACAAGGGCTTGGAAACGATCACATATGTATAGCCGGTGGCAGAAATAAAGCCATGAATCACATCCATAGAAAGCATGGGGGTCAGTTCCATGTTCCACAGTGCAATCCAGAAATGCACCTGTCCTAGCACCTTTCAAGGGCATGAATGAAGATGACTGCACCATCCCAGACACAGAAACCCAGTTCTCAACAGAACACTGGCATGCATGTAACCAGATATGACAGAAGGAAAACATCAGCTACAGCTGTGGATCAACATGAAAGGACTTCAGCATAGTGAACTAAAGGCACAAAATCACAAGATTCACATCTATTAACTGACCTGCCATACTTGGCAAAACACAGGCTGTGAAAAGCAAGGGCAGATCACCACTAGATCCCACAGGAGGTGGGGCAGCAATGGGGACCAGTGTTTCACATAGTCTAACATGCATTACATAACTTTCAAAAGCCAGAAGCAATGGGTGACTTGGTCTTTTGTCTCAACGTACCAAAACTCACACTAATGCATTAAAAGCACAATAAAGATTACCATGTGCCCAACCGAGAGATGGGAAGAATCTTTTTAGAAGCTAGTTGGCTGCCAATTTCTACTCTCAAGAAAGGCAGGGTTTCTCTGTAGCTTTGGAGCCTGTCCTGGAACTAGGGAGGCAAAGGTAGGCAGATCATGGATGTTTTAATCCCCCCACATACGCCCCTTCATGATAGTGGGAGCAGCAGTACATTGTCTGCAACTAGCTGAGCCCCTTACCAGGGATTACTAACACGTACATCAGATGAGGAAACAGAGATAACAACCTAAATGTTACACTAGCTAATATTAACATCAACAGCACTTTATATACAAGTGTTGTTTTCTTTCCTTTTTAGAGACACAGTGTCATCATCTAGCCCAAGCTGACCAAAAACTCAAGATCCGCCCCCCGGTTCTCTCCCAAATGCTGGAATATGGTAGATGCCACCATGTCTGGCTCTAAGGTACTGTTTCCTAATATATAAGTGCTTTATATTTAAAAAAAAATTTAACAGTCTTTAGACGCAAAGCAATCTCCAAACGTTCTCAACGCATTAATTTTGAAGGTAATTCAGATACCGGAGATGAGTATTTTTCTAACATTTCATTGCTTTTGTAAACCCAAAGATTAAATACTTTAATACATTTTTTTATATAGGCCATGCTTAGAGGTGTTTTAGTCCCCTTCACCTTAATGGTAGCATTATGAAAACTATCTCACTACACACAAACCTGTAAATGTATTTACAGTTCTTAAACATGCTCCAAAATTATGCTATCAGCTACATATCACCTACATTCTTTGGTGTACCTTCACTGATAGGAACTGGAGATATCCAGTAAGCTAAGTGATAAAGAGCCACACCACTGGAGAGGGCGGATCTATTTTCTGGCTCAGTTTTTATATATAATCGACTACACGCAAGTGTTTACTCTGAGCTGAACTCTGTCTGACTCTGCCATCCTCATCTCTGTAGCTGAGTGATTCTGCTTGATTTCCACATCCTTACACTTTTTACAGTCCTATTAAACTGCTCTTAATGTTAGGAGGCCTTGGTTAAAAAAGAAAACAATGTAGCACAAAAGGTCCCTGAGCTGAGGACCACAGTCTAAAATGTCTGTCACATGAAGCTGGAAAGAGAATTATGCCCAACTAAAGCTGAACAAATCTGGTTTTCTTCACCCAACAGCCCAGCAGGAAAACAGTGGTCTACGGTAGTATTCCCGAATCTCCGTTTTACCCATGCAGCACTACACAAGGAAAAAGAGGCAGCAGTTAGCTCTCTCTCTCTCATGTCTTCGCTGTCCCCACATCATCTGCAAACGGTGCCTACCTGGAACCCCAGCACAGGGGAGGCCAATGCAAGGACACGCTTAAGTTTAAGGCCAGGCTGAGCTACAGACAGTAAGACACTCTCTAAGGGAGAAATAAAAACTCTGGTTATTATGATTTCAGAACACTTCCTGTTTGTAAACCGCACAAGTTACTTTAACATGTCACAGAAACTCAGGAAAGAAAGTAACTTCACATCGGTTCTTAGCTGAGACAATTGACCTATCAACAATCAAGGATCTATGAAGGAAAGGGAGGAACCACTCAGCCGACTGCCTGTCTAGCTCAGTCCTCAGCCCCACACCACCAGAGTCACACTAACAAGACCTACTGCTGAAGACATTTAACTCTGGCCATAAACATCCAAGGGAAGGACAATGTTGAAATTATATTTATTAATGTTTTATTATACATAATGTACTCTATTAGAGTTGGGGAAAAGGAGAACCCCCACACTCAAGTGAGATAAGAACCTTATTGTCTTTTACAAAATCTAATTAGAACTGACAATGTTATGGTTAGTTCTTAATTCCTGAGAACTGGAACATCATTAAGTTTTCTGTGAATTTACAACAAAACACTCATGTTAATATTTCAGTTACAGTATGTCTGAAAAAAATGTTAGCAAGGAAAACCATCATCTAATGTATGCATCAACTCAAGCGTGAATACACTGAAGCCCTGTCGCTCTGCAGTTTAAGATCATTTAAATATATCTCTCTTCAGAGATTTTATTTCATCTACACAGACTTATTATAATTCACCCAGACTGTAGTGACATTAGTTCTAACTACAGGTAGAACAATTATGTCACTTTCTTCCCAATTTTAAGTGTCCAGGGAGACAGTATGTAAACTCTAATGTGCAGGAATAATAATGAATGAACATTTTTTTAAATGAAAGAAAATACTGGTACTATAAATGGTGACAAATCTGATATAATCAAATCCAGTATCATTAATATAAACATTTATAATAATGAAAATATAAATTATTAATTATGCAGCATGCTTTAGGGCCATCTCTACAGTTAGTATCAATTACAAACATTAAATGCCTTTAATCCATCTTTTGTTCATAATTCTCTAAACCATGTTTAACATAATAAAAAACATTTCCAATCTATTCTGTTTCTTCTGATTTAACAGTCATAGTATTTAGCTTGGGCTGGGAAAGTTCCCAAGCCTAATCAATGAGTCCCAGGCAGGACCCTGTACCTCTCCACTCCAAAAGCTGGGGCCATGGAGCCATGTCAGAATTCTAAGTGTTAGGATTATTTGCAAGATTTATCCAAAAAATAGTTAAGCAGGCAAATGCAACAGAAAAACAAGCATTTCCAAAAGAAATGTCTGTATTACATCTAAAGTTTTAAACCTTCCTTTTCACCCCAAAGGCATCGTTTTATTATACGTTGAAAAGGCCATGACGGTTTCACTAACTAGCTAGCACAGCTTCACAAAAGTAACGCTGGCCGCTTGTTAGGAACTACATTTCCTCACGGCCTTTCTTTCTTTGAACATCAGAAAGTGACGTACTAGTTCCATTCTCACAGTGGTAATTACTGAAAGCCTGCCATAGTGCAGTATTATTTAATCATTACACTGGATTTAAAGTAAAAATCTTTCTAAATTGCCACCAGAATTTCAATTTAATGTAACGAAGAAACCTGAGTTTGGTTGTAGGATAATTCATTCTTGTTTTCCCCAGTATCAGAGTGCCTTCAAACGCAGTGAAGCTTCAAGTGGGAGTCTATGGCTTAATCTGAGTTTTCTTTGAGATTAAGTAAATCTTATATTTAAAGCAACTGTTGGAGGATAAATGTTCCCAAAGCAATGTAAACTATTATAAAATGTCTCATCAGACATCAGCAGCTCATGAAGAGTTACATGGGAACCGGTTAGCCACACTGCACAGACGGTCACACAGCACCTCACCTCTAGCGTCAACGCATCCTCAGGGTCTGATCAGATGGTCACGAATTTCAAGCTCATCTCTCTTTAAATCGAGTACTTACTGGCTGTGTACAGCATATGCACCGGCTTTCCTATGACTTGAGATCAACATGGATCAAAGACACACACAAATTACAAACACAGAGAGTACAGGAGATGGAAAGCAATGGTGTGGGAATCTGGACTTTCCCTTTGATAGCATCACGTCAAAGAGTCCAGCAGGAGCATCTTTAGCCTACACCCCAAAGATCCAGTATCTGTTTCTCAGCCCTTGAAAACCAGAGCATTAGAAATAAAATGGGCTTGACTCCAGAGCACTGCCATACAGAATTTTCCACGATGTGACCTAGGAAATGACAATTTCTCAAGCAGTCTGTAATCCACGGCACTGGGAAGGGACCACGACACCCAGCTGGCCCACACCATCATCTCACAACAGGGTCTGCAGACGCAGTGCCCTCAGGGACATCACCGTTGTTCGCTTTAGTTTCTTCTGAAAGCAAGAGAGAAAACATCAATGGAAATACCTGTCGGTTTTACAAAAGTTAATAAATACAATTTGAAAAAAGCTATACTACTAAATGTCAACTTATAAAGTTGCATCCATGAAGTATTTTTCTAACATCACAAATTATATTAGTTTGTTTAAATGTTAAAAAATCTTCCTTCCATCAGCCTAGCCAGACAGGAACCCAGACTGCCATTACTGACAAACACAGCTAGAAGGCATGTGTCAGAACAGTTTGGGTGAGTAACTTGCCATCAATAAAGAGTATTTATTTGTCTGTGTGTATGGTATGCACACAAGTGTACACACATATGAAGCATGTGTGCACACACTTACACATGGAAACCAGACAATGGACATTGGGTATCTACCTCTATCACTTTCCTCATTTAAAAAAAAATTATTTAATTTTTTTTCTTTTCTGCATGGGTATTTTGCCTACATGTATGTGTGGCACCCTAGGAGGCCAAAAGAGGGTGTCAGATCCCCTGGAACTGGGGTTATAGACGGTTGTGAACTGCCATGTGGATTCTGAAGTGAACCCAAACCCAGGTCATCTGGAAGAGTTCCAGTGCTTTTAACTGTGGAGACATTTCTTCGGTCCCTAGTTTTCTGATGCAGGTCTCTATAACAGAACCCAGAGCTTTCTTATTGGCTAAACTGGCTCTCCAGTGAGTCCCATTGATGAGCTGGGTTTGCAGACACATGCCACCATGCCTGGCTTTTACATGCTTGCTGGAGATTTGAACTCAGGTCCTCTAAGCATTTTACCTACCAAACAATCTCCCCAGTTCTTTTATTTTTTGAGACTTTGTAGGCCAGACTTGTCTAGAGTTTCTGTAGTCTACGGTAGCTTTGAACCCAGTGATCTGCTTCAGCCTCCCAAATATTAAGATTACAAGCATGAGCCATTGCCCCAGCTCATAATCTATTTTTTTACATTTTGGTTTTTCGAGACAGGGTTTCTTTGTGTAGCCCTGGCTGGCCTCTGCCTCTCAAGTGCTAGATTAGAGGTGTGCCCCAACACCACAGCTTTTATTATCTGTGCCAACAAATTTTTGGCACTTTGTGCAAAATGTTATGTTAGCATACATTTTATGTCAGCAGGTGACAGTCATTTGAGTTCTGTACTAGGCAGCTCTCACCACTCAGGCAACTGCAGTTGAACACAGCTGTAATGAGAAGACTGACGAGAGTGACATCACCAGACAGTGTCCTGAAGAACAGGACACAGCAAGAAGCTCCACAGGATCAGCCTGGAGACTAGGCTGGCTGTGGCTGTCTTCATGCTTAGGCCTTAAAGCAAATACAAATCCCACTTGCAGTTTGCTTAGTCAGCGGCAGTAAAACCATAGCAACAGCTGAGTCTTCACAGCTCAGACAACCCAGCTTGTTTCTTCAGATGTGTGCGCCTGCACTGCTGTCTACAGCACTAACAAACAACAGTGCAGACAGACGGAGCATCGGGAATCGTCTCCAGCACATGCTTATTAGTCCAGACTTTAAAAATACCTGGATGTGCTTCTGATACCTAGTACTGATAAGTTACCCTTAACATATTCAACACTGACAAGAATAAACTGGTTTACATAAGTCTACTCAAAGAACAGCCTCCGCTCAATGCAAAAATGGAAAAAAAAATTAAAAACCACCTTCTTTTATGAAAATATTTTACATTTCAATTCATGAAAATTAACACAACAGATATAACATGGAAAAACCCATAAAATTCTAAATGTTACTTAGCTCCTGTACCTACATACGTTTCCTAATTTCCACAACGAAATGAACTAGATACTCCTCAGAGTAGACAATTGTTCTTCCATGTCACGTCTGAGAGAAATGGAGACCTGAGCTGTGAGGCACTGAGCAAGGCTTGTGCACACTGACTGAAGTATGTAAGCCCCCATAATCCTACAGACTAGGATGGGCGTAAGGCTTTCCACAGGGGCGTGGACCTCAGCAAGCAGAGTGGATGCTGTTACCATGACACCCACACCCCAGGGATTTCACGCTTCAACAAGCACAGTCACCTCGGGCATCTCTGCAGCTCAGCTGTTTGCAGCTGCTGCTAACCAGCCTCCTTCCCTCCTGATACAGGCTTGAGCAGTAAGGAGAAGGAAGCAGCTTGTTAAGTTTGTTAGATAAACCAGAGCACGGACTTAAGAAATAAAGTAAACCTTTCTCCACACCACATGGGATCCATGTGGGTGTTAGTGAAAGATTCCTTTCTAGGTCTATATGATTTTCCAAAAGATGAAGTAAACTAGAACTCTGACAGTCGCTGACCTATGCACAATCGAGCCTCGCTCACCTTCCTTCTCCTTCTTTTCCTGGCTCTCTTCAGCTGCACTCTTGTCTGCTCTGAAGAAAACCCTCGCGCTGCTCAGGGAGAAATACAGCAGCTCAAATTCCTACACGACAAAATTAGAAATAAAAAGGGAAATACGTTTTAACAAAACAACAAAGTAGCATTTTAATGTCTCTAAAGGAGTTCTCAGTACCCTGGCCATACCCGTGCACACGTGTGTATGGTGTGTCCAAGCCTGTTCACATGTGTGACTGGGAATTCGTGTGTGTGTGCGTGTGCATAGCTCCAAAGTTGAAGTCAGGTGTCCTCCTCAATCACCTTCCACGTCACAATTAAGGCATGGTCTGTCACTCAAACCTGGGGCTCACAGATTCTGGGTAGACTAGCTAGGCAGCTTGCTGGAAGGCACTTCCTGAATCTGCCTTCTAAGTGCTAGGATTACAGACAACTACACCTTCCCAGCTTTTCCATGGGTTCTGGGGACCTGAACTCCAGTTCACAGGTTTGTAGGACAAGCACTTCATACCCTGCCATATTGCCCAGTCCAATCTAATTTTTTATGACTAAATGGCTTCCAAATAAATTCTAACATGCATTCTTTTCACTGTTATTATCTCATATGGCTTCAGATAACAATTGTAGTGCAGATCAGTCAGCGGGGTCTGGACCCGAGGCCCTACCTGGATAGACCCCAGTAATGCCCATCATTACATCATCAGTCGGAGGGGTCTGGACCTGAGGCCCTACCTGCAGATAGACCTCCAGTCGCTTCTGAGTGAGGTTCATGGTCTGCAGCAGCTTCTCATCTTGACTAGTTGACTGAACATTCTGTTGCTTAGCAACTGCTCTTATCTCCTTTATGTACTTTTCTCTCACAGACTGGAACCAATGAAGTGAATCAAACTCCTGGTATTGATCCAAAAGCTTTAAGGTATAAGCCACACCTACAGTAAAACCAAAATTTAAATTTCAGTGAGTATAGTCCTCCTTTCTTTCTCCTGCACCTACAGATCCAAGCACTAAGCTAGTCACTTGAATCTCAACAGTTTCAAATCACATTTCACAGAAAAACTGATAGTTAACTAGGGTTCTCTACTAGGTTCCTTGGTTTGGGAGGGGGGGGACATAAAAAAGAAAAGAAAAGAGTAAATAATAGAATCCTGGACATCATCAGGGAAATAAGTTGTCCATGGTCACAATACAAAATCAAAGATAAACAGACAGGAGAAATGAGGACGGCTACATGGGCGCCAGTGAGACCAAACAGAAGATCAAAAATGAAAACCACAACAAAGCAAGCCCAGACAGAGGGCAAGCTGGACAAATAGCATTTCTGTTCTAATGGTATCAAATGACAACACAGGGGATGGAGAGGCCTTGAGACAAGCAGTGCTAACAGCAGGCACTCCTTAGAGAAAACAGCGTATTTTTAAGGTGCACAGAAATCTATTTTCAATTAATTTTTTTCTGAGAGCCCACTTTAAGGTAAACACAGAATTGGTGGGAAAATAGCTATATTAAGCTTACCCATGGCAAAACCATCATCAGTAAATGCTGCTCCTATTTTATTTTTTTTATTCAGTTTCTCTTTGCAGCTTATAGAATGTTCTACAAAGTTGAGTGTCTAAAAGGAAAGAAGACACAGAAAAACAACTGAGCTAATAAAGTCCACGAATTTGCTACAACAGACATTTCAAGAACTACAACCATAATTTCTTCTCAGCTCCTGAGTAAACTGGCTCCTGGTGAGGACACGAACCCCTAAGTGTCTCTGAGGGCTGTTAGGCCAAGTCCTCTAGCATGAGACTCCCCTCCACTGATCTTACCCTGGCACAGTGCTCGGGGGAAGTCATTGTGCACAGTTTAGTGAGAACATTGACTCTTAGGAGATCTTGACCCAAAGTGAAACACAAGGAAACATGGGGAGCAGAAAATGGTTTCACTTTACCTCAAAACATAAGCACTTTTTACAAAGCAATCCTTCCTTCCGCCTCCACTGATCATCCTAAAATACTACATAGTAGTGGCTCTTACTAACTATAAAATATCTGACAATCACAATCAATCTGTGAAATCTTTGTCGACTCCCATTTAGTCTCTCTCTTTTTTTTTTTAAATTGACAGCTCATTATATTTATCTTCTCCCCTGGACTCAGACTATAAAGCACAAAAAATAGCACACTATGTCTTTGTACTACACTTAGTCTATTCTATAATGGAACTTTTAAAAACCCCAGACTCTTCCCTCAATTCACCTATGGTTCCACGGGTGCCTAGCATGGTCTGTATATGATGATCTCAAGATTAAAGGAGCATGAGGAGGATTCAAGTCAGTACATATAATATTACCAAGTAACACACATCTTTAACCTGGGCACTCAGCAGATGTATACGGGCATCTCTGCCATATTCGAGGTATTAAAAACAACAGTAAACAATAGATGTATGAAACAGAAAGGAAGGTGTTTGGTGTTGGGGAACAATTTCTAATAGGTGATGATGTTCGTATACTAGGTAATTAGCAATTCAAGGAGAGGAGGTTTTATTTTGAGCACTTAAAATTTTTTTCTTTTGTTTTTATGTGTACGCATGTTTGCCTGCATGTACATATATGCATCATTTGCATGCAGTGCCAACAGAGGTCAGACGGGGGTGTCAGATCCCCCGGGACTGTAGATACAGACAGCTCTGTGCTGCCATGTGGCTTCTGAGAAAAGCAGCAGTGCTCGTATCCACTGACTCAGGCCTCTAGCAGTTCCTGTTGTTTGTTTTGAAAACCACCGCATATAGTTCAGGCTGGCCAGGGATAGTTTTCAACTCTGGATCCTCCTATTTCTTTCTACCTCCCTCTCAAAAGCAGAGATTACAAAAATGGACCACCACATCCAGACTACAGAGTGCTGGGGTAGAACCCGCATGCTGGACGAGCACTGCACTCAAGTTGCACCCCAGAGTATGATCCGAATAAGATGAAATAAGAAGCTATCATGTGCCTTAAAGACAGCAACCTCCTAAGATCAGATTGATTGCTAATATATACCTTTCTAAACTCATTTCTCTCGCCGCAAAAACTGTTTCTATAATGTAATTTGTGCTGACTTGAGCTATTTTTAGAGAGCAACCATGGAATTAGCGAAGAAAACAAACATTTCAGGAGAAAGCACTACAAAGTCATTACAGGTGCGGGTGTTCACAGCTGAAAGGGGAAGTTATCCCGAAAGGTATGTTGGAACAAACCTGACATCATAATAAGTTGATCTGCAGGAAGCAGTTAAAATGATTCTATGGCAAAATTCTGTGTAAAGATCCTACGGCATACGTGGAAGGACACACTCTCAAGTGACTGACAACATGACTTTCTCTTGCCATTAGTAAGAACCTATCAGCTATGAAACTTCAGCTGCAAGTCCAAGCTTTTGGTCATAACTGCTGACGTCACAATCCCATTGATAGCCAGAGGTATGAATGTACTTCACGCTTATGGAAAGTGAATCTGTAGTAACACCTATTAAAAACTCACTTCTAGTTTTTCAAATACTCACTAGAGGAGGGACAATGATATAGAAATTCCGGAGATGTATATTCTTTGGCCTTCGAAATTCTGGAGCAAAAACATCTACAAGCATTTTGAAATATTCTGTGCCTTCAGCAGAATTTCGGGTATGATCACTGAGGACTGAGTCCAAATGCCTACAAAACAAAACAAAACATTCCTTGGTGTGGCTTTTTAAAAATTTAGGTCTTTCATTAGATTAAATAATGCTACTCCAAATCAGGAAACAGCATAAAATTTCCAGGGACTTCAGGATGAGCAGAAACTAATCAGCACCACGTACTGAACTCAGTGCCTTAAAGAGCAGCTGGTATTTCTTTTCCTTTCCTTTTTGTGCATTCATTCATTGTGTTCATACACACGTACATATGACTGCGTGTGTCATGCACGTGAACACACACTGTATGTAAGTCGAACCTGTGGAGTCAGTTTGTTCTGACCATTGGGCTCTGAGGGTGAAGCACAGATCGTCAGGCTAAGTGGCAAGTGCTCTTATTTGCTGAGCCACCTCAGCATCCAACTCTTTAAAACATTAGTGGAATAGTGTTCATATAGGCATGCATGCATGCGTGTGTGCAAGCAAATTCATGAACATGTAAATATGAGAGAAAAACTTGCAGTAGCTGGTTTCTTCCTTTCACCATGTGGATTCTGAGGCTTGAAATCAGGTTTAGTAGCAAGGATTTTGTGCATTAAATGATCTTGTTGGCTGGGTCTCTATTTCTTGAGAACCCATGTTCACTGTAAATATATTCTGCAGCACTAAACCTCTCCACTAATGTTTCTAGCATCTGTTTAGCCTCCATCTGGTCCTCCTTTCAGAGCTGAACGTCTCTTACAATCTTCAGAACCAGCAGCTTCTACGGCTGGGGATTAAGTAGAACTACTACTATTCTCAAGCTCCATGAGTGGAAGGTTTTCTGAGATGCACATGAAGCAACTAGATATGCTCTTCATCCTGAGAGACGCTCCATCCTAACAGACTGGCAGTGTGGTAAGTGGGAACTGAAGCAGAGCTGCACTGAATACCCCGAAACTATTAACAGCACAGCATAGCAGCAGACCACACCGCTGCAGCGTACCCTGTGGTTCCCTAGCATCTCCAGGCTGGCTGGGATTGCTCCTCCCTGTTGCCCTGCCCAGCATCACAACAATCACAGCGCATAATACTTGCCTGGAAAAAGAATTAAAATAAAAAACAAGTAATATGGTTTCAATTGAATGCTTATCATTTTTATAATATCATAATAACCAAAGTTAAAATTATTTAGTTCAGGCAGCATCTGTATATTCCATCACCCTAGAGCCTCCATGTGTCTGGGAATGAAGCCCTCTACAATAGCAGCTAAGTGCTCTTAACTACCGAGCCATGGCATCAGCACCGGATGAATTCGTCTTATGAATGAGGTTTTAGGTATCACCTACAGTCACTCGCTCCAGACAGGAATATGTGACTGACAGCTGCATGTGCACAGCACTCTCCAGAAGATCACTTTCTGGTCAGGTGGGAAAGATCTTAGACTACAAACACGGTCATACCTATCTTCTCACTGCCTTCTGGAAGCGAATCTCAGCATCCCAGTCTTGGCCACTCCCCAGCTTACCTAGCTGCTCTGAGCGTTTCTTCTGCAAGCCCTTCCTCCTTTACTAGCTCTTCAAAGCTCACAATGTCTTCAAGATCTGGCACAAATCTACGTGAGAATTTGAGAAGGAATTTATGGGGGCAAGTAAAATATATGCAACCAACACATACATGAAGTACTATGGAAGGGTAAAAATTAAGTATGTTATTTGGGAAAAACTTTGCATTTCAAGTAATATTGTTAATATCACTGTAGTTCCACATCAAACTTTATGTGCTCACACTCTAATACTCAAAATTAGCAATCTTTACATTCATTAGTTATGCTGATAAAAATCACTGTATTTTAAAGAAATATTTTCAAAGATAGTCTTTTTTTTAAACAATCTTTTCTTTTTAAAATGTTTTTAACAGACTTATTTCTATTTTATGTGTACGGGTATTTGCCTGCCTGTGTGTCTATGTGCCACGCCTGTGCAGACTGAAAAAGGGTGTTAGATCTCCTGGATCTAGAATTACAGCCAGTTGTTTGCAGCTGTATGGGTGCTGGGAAATGTACCCAAGAACTCTGGAGGAGTAAATGCTATACCATTTTTCTAGCCCCCTAATATAATCTTAAAATGTAAGAGATAAAATTCCTCAGGTGTTAGGAACAATGTTTTCTTCACTAGGAAGAAAACCAGTTTACTGAGTTTACATCAAAGGGGCAGAGGTTAGGCAGTAACACCTCAAATGTATTGAAAAAGCACAAGTACATTTTCTATAGTATTATGAAACAAAGATAAAATTTCACAAACAAGGCAGAAATCATGTTTGAATCCATACCTAATGGCATTGCTGCTACAGTGAAGACCACCAGATCTTATCATCCGTATATAGCCCATAGCATTACCTTCAAAATTCACAAAGAAAGCACGTCTTTACATGAGCAATTCTAACAATCAGGACAAGATATATACAGTAATCGACTGGGAAGTTTCCACTCCTAAGTACCAAAATATTCTGCTTTAATTTTAATTTCTGTTCCATAAAAAGAAAAAGAGTTGTGCATTTGAAAGTTAAATTTAGATATACACAGACATTACTATTTTAAGATAAATGTAATTCAGTTGACAAATTAAAACCATTAATTGCTAGTTAGCTTCATTAAAATGATCAAACATTTTAAAATTATAGTACAATTTCCCACACACTCCTCTAAGTGCTGTCAGGAAATCTTTACTTGGGACCTCCCAAATTTGTCTCTCTAGCATGGACTCCTCTGATCTCGAGACTCTGCTGTCCCACGTGTACCCTGCTAACGGGTCTTTACTCGCTTCACTCCAGCCCTATTCCAGACTGTCCTCAAAAATGCCTGGGAGACTTGGGCTTTTACACTTCCACTGCCTGTCTGGTACTCTCCTTCCCCAGACACACACAAGGTTTATCTGTTCCATTATTTAGGGTCCTGAATATCACTGCACAGGACTGCTCAGCCCACCACATCTTACCCAGAACGCCGGAACAGGTACCCTATCTTTTTGTCTGCCACTCCTCAACTAGGGTAAGGACCCACTGAGTTACGGCATCTGCCTTCTTCACTATCCTATCCCTAAAGCAAACAAGTCCTGAGTCACAAAAGGAATTCGATATGCAATGGAAATGAAATTACTTGGGAGAAAAAGATAGGCCAAATAAAAAGGTAACAGTTAATATCTCATAAGCATTATAGTTCCGATATTAATGCTACACAGTAACAATCATGACCTACATTAAGGCCTATTCCAACTGTTCAAGTTCTAAAAAATATGTAACATGCATTTTTAAAAATTATATATTTTATTTAGAGTGTGTCATGTCTCTGGAGAGTTTTTTAAAAATATATAATTTAATTTTATGTGCACTGGTGTGAGAATGTCAGATGCCCTGAAACACATAGACAGTTGTGAGCTACCATGTGGGTGCTGAGGAACTAAACCTGGGTCTTCAGAAGAAGTACTCTTAACCACTGAGCCATTTCTCTGGTCCCATTAACACACATCTTTTAAAAATTAAATACCTAAATTGTTTCAACTAAAGTAAAAGGCACGCTGAGAATAGTATTAAAAGCAAAAGGCCTAGTCAGGCTACTGAACTGAAATCTAGATTCTACTATGTGTTAGCTGTGACCTAGATCAAGCTATATAAATTACTAGTACGTCAACCTCCTCATCTGTTAGACTCTAAAGGCAGGGACTTCACTCACTGTCACAGCAGCATCTGAGACTTTCATTGATCGTAAATCCTCCAGGATGAGCGAATGGGAACACGTCACATACTATGGGTGGCTTCATACAAAGTCACTGCCCTGACTCTCGCTGAGGAGAGTTCCCATGAGCTGGCCCTGTGGATGGCTCAAGTGTCACCATCACTTTATTTCTCAGTTTCTCGTCAGCACACGTCATAAGCTGTGATGGCAGTAACAGAGACCACACATGCCAACAGTGCAGAACGAGAGCCTGCTAATCTTTGAGCTTAAATGGAGTTCTTCCCTCTAAAAATTATGTACTGTATTTCAAAAGTCAAGCCTGCTTCTAAAACATGGCAAATCCTACACAAAGCACGAAATGGCACAGCACTAAAAAAATTACATCATTCAATAAATAATCTATAATCAAACTTACACAAAACCTACTAAACTACCTTTAACTTACCAGTTGATTCTTAATTGTGAATGTAATTCTGGGGTGCATTTATTACGTGAATGTCTAATTTAACAAATTTTATTTAACCATTGATTGGTATTTCCTACACAACAGTTTAGTAAGTGGAATGAAGTAGAAGCATTCACACAATACATGAACTGTCTCATATATGTGGTGTGTGTGATTCTGGCACTTGCACTATATTTCTCAATACTTTGAGGTGACTTACCAATCTGGCTGATGAGCTGCCTGAACTGGTCAAGGTAGCTCTGTCCCTCTGGTGTGATTCCAAGTTTTCTTATGCCGCGATTGAATTTTTCTGCTCTATCAAAAGGATACTAAAGAGATAAATTTAAGGATAACTTTAGGCCCTTAAAACAAAATCCTTGGTAAATGGCTCATGAAATAAGTCACTCAGGTCTAATGACAAATCTGTAACAACAAGCCCTGCTGGTGTTCAGAATGCTTCTGCAGATGCTGTTTTAGTCTTAGCTACAGGGAGAAACTGATGACATGCAACTTATCCCCACCACAGGAGCCGCCCAGCCCTAACCACTCTATCAGACCAAGAGAAGGAACTGAGCCAGTAACTGCATGTGTTCACATATTTGTAAACCAGTTCCTATAGGCCTGTTGCTGAAGAATTTACACACATTCCTTCCAAATGAATAAATAAGCTGCTTAAAATGCTAAGCTCAGTAGCACAAAACTATGATGCCAGCTCTGGAGGGCAAAAGCAAGAAGATCAGAGTTCAAGACCCTCCTTGGCTATGAGCAAGTGTGAGGTCAGTCTCACATGAAACCCTGCCTCAAAACCAAAATAGAAAAAAAAAATTTTCTAGTTGCCTTCATCAGTTTGGGGTGAAAAAGGCTTTCCAAGTTCTGGCTAACACTTACTGCAATGACACCGTGCTCTACAGCAGCATGGTGACCTGCCACCTCCACCCCATATAAAGACATCCAGCACATTCCTCTACTGACGATGTCCTGGCATTAATTCCTACACTACCACGGAATACACTCAGGAGCTATTATACATACAGGTAAGACTAGGGGAACCTTTGTGTAATTCACATAGTTCCATAAACAGCAGAGCAGATGCAGAACCCATTTATCTTCAGCTATGGCCTCTGTCCTAACTTCCTACACAGCAAGAGCTTTTTATCTCACACTGGGAAAACTCACACGGAGGGCAAAGGGAAAACAGAGTTCTGTTTATGAGCACAGGTTCTGCTGTATTTGGCTATTTCAGGTGTATTTTTGTTTTCCTTATGGTAACAAGGGGACAAGGCAGACAAGTCCATTGCCAAGAAGCTACATTCCCAGCCTCCAAACCAGCACTGCTAAAAACTACTGGTAGGGAATCAACTGTGCAGCATTTCTGGAGTATCAGACAGCATGTGCCAGAAATCTGCCTTTAGCCTCCCGAGAGAACACAGGAAGTTGCGGGGAAGCAGGAGAGGAGGGCAGACGGGGGAGGAGACGGGGGAAAGACAGTCATGGAGAGGTGTAGTAACAAAGCCAGCGTAACCATCTGTCATTACACAGCAGTCCAATCCAGGTACTAAGAATACACAGCATACCTTGTGATCATTTTGGTCCTTGATCTCCCTGAAAAATCGAATATCTTTAATCAATCTGGATTTGATATGTTCATCATACATAAACTGGCTAAATATATAGAACTTCTTTTTCAAAAACTGGTAGGTAAAATTAACCTATAAAATTAAAAAATGAAAAGTTAATATGAAATTTCAAATAAATGGTACAGAGTAAGTGATCTAAAAGTACTATTTATGAAGTTCAACTAGTAATGGAGTTGAAATATTTAAATAGTTTTTAGTGCCCAAATTCATAGAAGTTTCTACAGACTTCTCTTATACAAGCTGCTCTCTCCTCCTATGGGGGCGGGGGGAGACAGTCTCATGCTAGGATTCAGACCTACACTGGGAAAAAGTATCAGCCCTACAAGTAACTGCAAGTAAGGGACAGGATGCTGGGGAAGGCACCAAGCCACCACTCGTCTAGCTGGCTCTGAAGCCGTCCACATCAAGGCAGTGTGCCTGTTCCACTCTAGAGGTCTCTGCTCTCATTAGGTCAATTCAAGCAGAGTAGCAACAACTTCAACATGCACTAACCAATCATTAAGTCACAACTGCAATGATTTCTAAAATTCAAGAGTGCAGGTGCTTTGAGAATGACTATCTAAAGGCCCAACCCAAACTCACAAGCCTTCAGAGAGCGAGATGTGAGCTGAGATTCGAGTATTAATTCTGTACCGCAATGGAAGCCTACACCAACCCCTATGCCATTACTCTCAAATGTTACTAAGGGTGTTGACCAACGTACTGTCTACACTTCCCTCTTTACAGAAAAGGGTGCTTACTTATGACATAAACATTTAAGGCATAGTTGCCTTGGTCTTCTCTACTTTTCTTGTTCTCTCTTTCCCGCTTTATTAGTGGGTAACCTGCCACTCTGATTCTCATCTCCTGCCTAGGTAACTTACATGCATATCAATATTCTTCTATTACCAAGAAGGCAGAAAACGTCTGCTTTTCTCACTCCCGTGCTTAGTAAACGCCTGATAAGCACAGAATCTACTACCAACACTGGTTTGCTACAATGGAGGAAAGCATTTCTCCTCAGGACTCTATAACCTATTTACTCTTAAAGGCTCAGACGAGATCCCTACCTGAGGACACCTTATGTGTGATGCTGACTCTGAATCTCGCTTCTGCACTGGCGACCACTGATGAAAGCTCTGGTCGTACCACACACCACCTCAGAAACTACAGCCTTCTTCGTGCACCAAAATGACCCAACTGGCTTCCAGTCCTCTCCTCATAACCCTTCCCTCACTACAAATAGTTTAATGGTCTTTATAAGCACATAAAATTAGCCATACCTTATGAGAGGAAAAATAGTTTAGTGGTTTCTACAAGTAACTGCCCATTTCAAGTAAGAGTCAAAATATTTTTAGTAAATGGCTTATGAACATGGTTATTAAATAATTAGGCATTCTCTACCCTTAAAAACATCACAAATTACAGTAAGTAACCCAGTCCCAGTGATTCATTTCAGAGAGTACAAGAGAACCAACATACAGTGTACTGACTTCCACTGTTAACAATATGGCCCAGAGGGCTAAGAAACCTAATACAGCCTTTTCCATCATAGTGCCCACCAAATTCAACACAATGTAACAACAGATATTTTTATTCAGACCATCAGAAAAAAAGTGGAAATTCAGGTGTGATATAAACAGGAAGCAATGCATGCTTATTAAAATGTTCTATAAAAAATCTTCCAAATTACTAAATTCAGCAAGAGTTTATTACCCACAAAAGATGCTTACTGTTGTGTTCATGATTCCTGTCCCATGTGTCCGAATTGAATTAGCAATATGTCGAATGTTAATAGTATTCAAATGCTTATTATTGCTTGTCCGTTCAATAAAAATCTGAAATGCAAACAAATTTAGGAACAGTAAGAATACACCTATCCCAAATGCTGGTTAGTAACCCAACAAAAAGTTTAAAACAGTAAGAACACACCTATCCCAAATGCTGGTTAGTAACCCAACACAAAATTTAAAACAGTAAGAGTACACCTATCCCAAATGCTGGTTAGTAACCCAAGGATAATTTAATAGAAAGGCCACTAAGAGGACATGGCCACACTACAGTAGAGAATATCCAGGGATCTCAACATCTGTGGTGGTGCACTCCTTTAAGCCCAGCACCCAGAACATAAAACTCTGTGTTCAAGGCTAGCCTGGCCTATTTAGAGAGTTCCAGGCTAGCCAGAGCTATATTGTAAGACCCTGTTTTCAAGGGGAGAAAAAAAAAACTCTAAAAAAATTATTCTCTGTTTTACACGTGTTATCAACTTTCACCTTTGAAAAACCAATCCCTGGTCTTTGGGGCATTCCATTATAAAGTCATCCCTATAAAAACTGGGTTTCAGGTGGGCATGGCAGTGTATTACTGTAATCCCAACATCCTGGAGGCATTAGTCCAAAGCCAGTCTAGGCTACATGTAAATTCTAGGTCAATCAGGACTACAGAGTGAAATCTTGCCTTAAAACACAAAGCAACAAATAAAACCTTTTTTCTAAATTCCACTCACCTGATTATTGAGATTATAGAGGTATCGAGAGACAAATATGTGAATGTTTCTCATAATTTCCAGAACGTCAAGCCCCTACAACACAATGCACACAGAAACCCATGACTGAGTTGAGCATGGTTAGTCAGCCATGCATGAGCTAATACTCTTCCTTACTAATGACACAGCTGCCTAGCCGTCTGCATGATTTTAAACTACATAAAAGGCACCACCAAAGTTCCACGAGCCATGTACACAGCCCTGAGTCTGCTGCTCTGTATTTTATCCCCCATGTTCTCACGAGACCCAGAGCACAGCTATCTCCCAACTAACCTTCAACTTCTCTTCTTCTTCTTCTTCTTTTAACAAAGTAAACTAATGACTAGACTCCAAGTTACTTAAAAGACATCATACATTTATAAAAATGTATAATACTTTTCTGAAATTACACAAGAACTACTCTTCATATATAATTTTCAAAATCATCAGGTATTACTCTTCTAAACACCAGAAGAAAAGAAAACAAAGCTAAGATAGTATTCTCAGGTCAGACAGCTAGAACAGACAAAACCTGGAATTTTAGAAAGTCTAATTTCAAAAGTTTATGCTTCTTTTGAGTAGACCAGATCCCTTTTAAAGATTTGGTTATATTTTTGTAATCATATGAAAGTGTGTGGGGTGTGCATCTAGATCACCTAGAGCTGGACTAACAGCTGTGAGCCCTCTGGTATGGGTGCTAGAGGCAGAACTCAGGTCCTCTGCAAGAGCAGTGTATGCTCTCAAATGCTGAGTTGTGTCTTCAGCTCCCAGATCACTTTATAAACACACACACACACACACACATTTATGTTTGTTTTGTTTTTCAAGACAGTGTTTTTCTGTGTATCCCTGGCTCTCCTGGAACTTGCTCTGTAGATCAGACTGGCCTCAAACTCAGAGATCTGACTGCCTCTGCCTCCCCAGAACTGGAATCAAACGCGTTTGCCACACGTGTATACACGTATGTGTATGTACATGTGTACATTTCGTATGTGTATGTACATGTGGACCTTTTTTATGTGTATACACGTATGTGTATGTACATGTGTATGGGTGTTTTGCCTACATATGTCTGTGCACTACTTGCGTGAAAGTGCCTGCAAAGATGAGAAGAGGCCACCGGATTCCATGGAACTGAAGTTACAAACCACTGTGAGCATGTAGGTGCTGGGAACCAAACAAACCCAGGTCCACTGCAAGAAAAGTAAATGCTCTGGATGCTAAACTATCTCTCCAGCCACCAAACACTTTAACTCTAGTAGAGTCCTCCTGTCTCCGCGTGCTTCCCCAACACTGGGGGTAGACCACATATTACTCTATAGCTGTGCTAACCAGTGCTCAAAGTGTCACCACAGTACACTCACACATTGGACCTTTGCTACCCCAGACGTTTCTCCACATATGTTTTATCTCCCCCAGTCTATAAGCTTATGAACTAAATCCTTAGACGTGGTTCATTATCCAGGATTCTCTAGACATATTCTATATGCTCAAATACATGAGCGAAAGAGGCACAAAACGATTCTGGAAATAATCCATAAATACAACAAGTTAAAGAAAAATTATGGTACTCAGATTTTGGGACAGACGGTTTCTTTTGATAAATATTAACATGATTACTTTAAAAAGAATTACACATAAAATAACCCTGAATTGCTACATTCATAAAATACTGACATATTATAAATTGGCTAATTGAATTAGCAAAACCAAATGCTTCTTTGCAATTTGCACATAACTAGATAGTTGCTTTTCTAATTTGTTAAAGTTAATATACTACACCCATTTAAAATCCAGCCTTGTCTATAAGTCATCTCACTATCTTACTAGATTCCTAAAAAGCCTGTGTGTGTGTATATATATGTCTGCATTTATTTCATATGCTCAGAACAGAGTATGCCCAGGAAGGCAATGATAAATTCTTTAGCAAAGCCCATTAAGTATCATCTAATATTTTATCCTTATCAAATATGAGATTTATGGAACAAAAATTTTTCTTAAGAACTACATTAAGGGGATATAGAGCTATCTCAGTGGTTAAGAGCCTTGTCCTTAGGGAGAACCTGGTTTTGCTCCCAGAACCCACATGGTGGTGCAGTGCCATCTACAGATGCTTCAGTTCCAAGGATCTGACCTCTTCTGACCTCTGCAGGCACCAGACACTCACATGGTGCAGATACTCACATACAGGCAAAACACTCATACCCATAAAATAACTGAGTCTAAAAAAAAGTGTGTGTGTGAGAGAGAAAGAGAGAGGTTTCATGAATGAATACTGACATGTTGTCTGACCACATCAGGAACTGTACACATACCTGCTCCAGAGTCTGGCTAGGAAGATGCGCCTCTGTCATAACCAACCCATAGCGCTGAGTAGCCAAATTCCTCATTTCGCTGTAAGTGGCCCAATCATGAAGGGCCACTGTTGTGAGATTGTAGAAAGTCTTGTCTAGGTAGTGAGTTACATACGCTACAAAACAAACCCACAAAATGCCATGTTTAATTCATGATCAAGAAAAGAGAAATGAAGCTAAAAAGGAAAAGAACACATAATTTTAAAATTGATTTGTTCCTTTAAAATAATGTGCTAGGGTTGGGCAGTGGTGGCGCATGCCTTTAATCCCAGCACTGGGGAGGCAGAGGCAGCTGGATTTCTGTGAGTTCAAGGCCAGCCTGGTCTTCAAAGTGAGTTCCATGACAGGCACCAAATCTACAGAGAAACCCTGTCTCAACTGATCGATCGAATGATGGATGGATGGATAGACGGATGGACGGACAAACAGATAAAATGTGTAAAGCTCAACACTCAGTGGGCTGAGGCAGGAAGAGCATTAAGTTCAAAACTAGTCTCAGCTAGAGGGTGAACCTTATCTTCAAAGAATTTAAAAACAACCACAACAACAGAACAGTGTGTGGAGGGCTGTACCTGTATATCCACAGCAGTAGAGTCTGAGGTCTGCCTGGGCTACAGATGGGTCCCTGGGCAAGCCTGAGCTACACCACAAGAGGGACACAGCTAGGAATATGAGGGGCAAGGGCCCCAGGTCTCCTGCTGCTCGGTCAGAAGAGACATAGGAAGCACTCACCTCGAATATCAATGAAGCGACTGAAGAACCGAATTGGGTTCAGAGAGAAGAACAGGCCCAAGTCTTTCCTGCCGACTCGGAAGGGGTTCCGGTCGTCCAGCTTCAAGTGCGTGTGCACAGAAAGCCGCAGGTCCTTCTCAATCTCCTTGCACAGCTTGTCCAGCAAATGCTACTCAGAAGGAATGGAGAGCTGTTCAGGACGACACCCACTGCAGTGCTCCTTCATAGCGCACCAAGGAGAAACTGACCAACTAGTTTCTGATTTAGGATGCTAAACCCTCAATGGTAAATATTTTATTTTTGTTTGAAAAACTAAATTACCCTGCTTTTTAAACTAGTAACTGTTATTTTTAAGTCGGGGGGGGGAGCTAAATACTGAGGTTCATTTTCATGAATTTAATTAATTCATGAAATTAAATTTAATTCTCATGAAAAATAGCATGACCAATGGTTTCACTATAAGGCACATGAATATGTAATATAAAGCATAAAATTTGTGGAAAGCAGCAGTAAAAAAGGATCCTGCAATATGCAACAAAGAAAATAGATTGCCTTAGAATTATCATTAACAATCACAGGGTAGCATGCACACGGTGCACATGCACACGTACAAGCAACGAAGATACACACAAAGTACATCTGAACAAATTCTCCTAAACCATGAGGACTTTGGGAATGAATGGGCAGATCCAAAGCACTTGTAAACAAGTGTGAGGACCTGAGTTTAGACCCCCAGAACACTGCTAAAGTCAGATGCAATAGTTTGAGCCGGATCTGAGCATAAGACAGTGAACAAGAGAATAAATACCCCGAGCTCTACAGCAAACTGGCCTGGTCTGTGGATTGCCCGTCCTGCCTCAAAACAAGGACAGACACCCCAGGTTGGTCTCTGTGAGGACGCTTGCACAGGTGCAAAGAGAGACAACACACACAAACATACAAACTACACACATTAAAACATACACACAATTCACTGTCAGGGAACTAAATCAATCGTCTTTTCCTATCAGAGTTACATATATTACCAGTTATTTATTTTATTTTTAATTAATATTTAGATTCATTTGCAAGGTTTGATAACATAGGACAACCAAAAAAGAATAATATCATATAAAATTTTTCATAACTCCATCACACTGAATATTTTTAATCTCATTTTCCAAACAAAAATTATTTATAAATAATTTATAATTTATAAATAATTGGTTTGGGCTTTCTTGAGACAAGGGTCAGGGTCTGGAACTCATAATCCTCCTGCCTCAACCTCCTGAGTGCTGAAATTACAAGTGCACTTTATTAAAATCCAGGTTTGTTTAAATAATTTCTGATTCAGTGGAGACGGCTTCAGGCTACCTATCTTCCCAAGTACTGATCTCCAGCTTTCTCTTCAACACAATCTTACCTCATTTAAAATTTCCATAATTTCCTTGTCATAGCAATCCAGAAGTAGTTCACAGGACTCTAAATGCCTTGAGTGCATCATGGCAGGTACACAGTCTCGTAAAGCACTGAACATGTACTGTCAAGAAATTAAAACACCCGAGTTTAGAAAGCAACAGAATTATTTTAAACAACACTGTAAAGGCTAATTACAGACAAAGGCAAAAACTCTGACCTGAAGGAAAAGAATATTATTCTATGACTGATTTATTTTTCTAAAAACCTGAAACACACGATTTAAGCGCACACACACGCACACATACACAGAAAAGCTGACACTCACTAGTCTACTGCACAAGCACTCGGTCACATCCCTCCCATAAAGAAACTGAGTAACCTAACAGCCTGCAACAATAAATATCAAGACTATTGAGGCAAGCTCAATCCAGTGAGCCTAGAATGGCTAACCATATGTAGAGGAGTTAACAAGCAATTTCATTAGTACTGATACACAATTTTCCATGGACTATATAAACCTTGATTGGATATGCATAATAATGTTCGAAATATCATTACAGGTCAATTTTATGAAGGTTTATTAAATCAAATGACCTATTTGAAACTTAAAAGTGGCAAGAAATGAAGTTTACTCTCTTAGATACTGTTTACTTACATGTAATCTAGCTGCATCCACAGCGTTTTCATACACATCATCTAAATAAATTGGGAAGACAGCTCGGTGCCAGTACAAAAAACAACAGTCACACTGTGTTTGGACTCTACAATATAAGGTAACAGGTAATTAGTGGTCCCCTCAACAACACAAAAGAAAGACTTTCTGTACTCTTAAGGGGAAGAGGTCTGTCTTCCTCATTGTACATTCTCTGCATCACTGCACCCAACATTATTACCAAACAAAGTCATTTTCAAATTGAACAAAGGTGATAAAACATTTCAATAGCCTACATTATCAAAATTCTGTATATGCTTTAGTTTTAAGACTGCTGTAAAACTCAGACTATTAAAGAGATGTTGAAAATTAATTTATTTTCAGCATTATCTGAAATAATACTGTATTACATGTATAACTTACCTGTCTCCAAAGTAAAAAACAGATTTTAAAAGGAAAGACCTTGGTATCCCTCATATTTCCTTAGCTCTCTAACTCTTGTGCACTCAGCTCTCTCTATTCAGCACCAGCTCTTAGGAAGAGGACCTCTGTCAGATGGGGGCCAGCCTGGACCACACAGCCAGGGCTACCCAGTGAGACTCAGTACTTTTTTTGACCAAATAAACCTGTCACATAGAGCCTACAGATTGTCTCTGCTACCAAATGACTAACTCCTTACAGAAGAGAATTACCCCAGGTATCTTAGAGTGAAGGTCCATAATTCTCTCAAGGACTGAAAATTAAATACCACTAACTACAAAAATATCAGCTTCTCAGAACAGCAGAGAAAATTATGAACATTAAATGAAAACTGTGCTGTAACGCGATAGTTCAGCCTTCAGGAAACCTGCACTCACTTAATGAGAAAAATTTAGAAAAGCATCCCAAACACCTGCAAAAACAAGCCTTCATCAAGTCCGTCTGGCCCAACGGCCAGCACTTCAAAGTTCATCTCCAAATATAAAACTACATAAAATGGTGCATCATAGTCTTCCAGTGGCTTGCAACGAACAAAGCGTTAAAGAACCTGCCCAATACCCTGAAGGACACTGTTCAATCTCGTGTGAACCAATTCTTCCAGAGGACTCATGCCTCCTGTGAAAGCAAAGCTGAGCAGGACAACGCTGTAAGACAGAGGTGACAGAGCAACTAATGCTCCCTGTGGAACTCACGCCTGTTCTCCCTGCCAGAGAGAACAAGAGCTGAACGTGGTGGCACAGCCTGTGATCTCAGCACTGGGCGGCCAGCCTGGACCTCAGAGTAAAACGGAGGCCGGGAGAGGGGAGTGTTGAGGACGAGGAGAGGGAAAGGCTGTTCTGTCGCCCGGGGTTCTAACTGGCATGACCCAGCTCTACTTACCGTTCTCTGAGCTCACTGATGAGATCCAGCTTTTTCATGACCACTTGAAGGGGAAAGAGCTCTTCGTCTTTAAAGGTTTTCTATCAGCGAGAAGGGAAAACACGAAGTATAACACAGTAAGGCCAAATTTCTTAGAATAATACATGAACTGTGAATCAGAGTAATAAACTTACCATTTGTGTGCCAACACTTAATGCCAAAGAAACAATAAGTCGCCGTTGCTTCGTACTTGGTCCATTTAAGGTGTTTTCGGCCAAAACAAGAGCAGACAGCACATCAAGACGCTGTTCACTATACTTTTTGTCTGAAATTACTCTTTTCTTAAAGATCAAACAGAAAATTATTAAGTTTCGATTCTAACATTGTTAAGTTCCAAGAGAAAAAGCCAGTTCTCTATTCTGTTCTCCCTGGCACACTCAGGTGAGCAGAGCTCTCAATCAGTTCCGTAACTGCCTCTCAGCACTGCCAGGGCAGCGGACGCGGGGCTTAAACACAGTCACAACAATTGACTAACAAGAAAGAATTCAAAACCGAGTCTCAAAACCTTTCCCTTCCTGCTCATGAGATTAGCTGCCAATGAAGATTTAGACACAGGCAGTCCTCAATTCTCTCCACTCTACAGTGATGTAGACCCAGTTCTCACTTTTGGGACAGCACTCAGGAAGTTCATGAACACCCAGGCTTTATGACAAACTAGGCTTTGGGCTAGATGGTTTCCTCTGACTGCCAATTACATCAGGGAGTAGCAATCTGAGCACATTTAAGGTGAGCCAGGCTGAGTGCTGAGGCGATCAACGCACACCTTGCATAAAGAAACGCCTATATCATCATTCATGGTCATTTCCCAGAGATTATAATTATTCTCTGGTACAATTCAGGTAACCCTAAAGATTACAAAATGCAATGGATAAAGCACTACAGAAATAATCCATTGCAGGAACAAAATAAAGAGGCTAAATCAGGAAATGCAGATAGAACAGAAGAACACTACAGTTTAGTTACGCCAAGCACAGAGAACACAGTAATCTGCATACCTTGGCTACAGCAATAGAATTAAGAGCCTGATGTTGAAGGTGTTGGGTTATATGTGACACTGAATCCGCCACGACCATGCTTCTCCTGTAGAACATATGCTCTATTGCCTAAAAGAAACAAAAGGAACTCAGGAAAAATTAACTTAAAATTTACAAGCAAAATCATTAGAGAAAACCTTCATGACCCTAAGCAAAGGAAGAAATCTGTAAATGAGACTGGTGGGGGGCAAATATCAAAACACACATGAACACAAACAAACCTGAGGCTGCAGAGACGGTTCAGTCTTCAAGTGTTTGTTTACCTCAAATGCATGAAAACCAAGTCTGATTTCCCACATCTAGGTAAAAATGTCCAAGCATGGGGGTACAAGCTTACAACCCCAGTGCTTAGAAGGCAGATAGGAGGATTCCTGGAGCTTGCTAGCCTCATTTGTAAGCCCTAGGACCCTGTCTTTAAAACAAACAAACAAACAAAAAACAGCTTCAAAATAAAATCAATCAGCCAGACGGTGGTGGTGCACAACTTTAATTCCAGCACTCAGGAGGCAGAGCCAGGTGGATCTCTGTGAGTTCGAGGCCAGCCTGGTCTGTGAATTCCAGGACAGGCTCCAAAGCTACAGAGAAACCCAGTCTTGAAAAAACAAACAAAAAAAACCACAACTCAATCAACATCTAAGGTTGAGCTCTGGCCCCTACAGACAGACAAAATGGCACAAGCATAATGATGGAAAAGATAGGCATGCTTGAGAAAGACATTTACTAAACGACACTAGAATCCTCTTCCATAGCACTCCAGATTCCACATGACCCAATGATATGGTTTTGGTTTGTTTTGCACAAGCAACAGAAAACCAAAATAAAAGCAAGTATGGGTTGTTTTTCTTTTTTTTTCCCATATAGCAAGTTAAAAAAAGTCACTACCACTAACTATTAAGTGCTGATTATTAAAAACTGTCCAAACAACTTGTACCTACTAAAGACTTAAGACCGGGTATGGAGAAACAGGCCTATACCCGTCTTCAGAAGGGTGAGGCAGGAGAACTGCCATGAGTGTGCTGGCTGGTTTATGTCACCTTGACTTGAGCAAGAGTCATCTGAAAGGAAGAAATCTCAACTGAGAGAATAAATCCGGTTGGAGGGCATTTTTTTAATTAGTGATTGATGGGGAAGGGCCCAGCCCACTGTGGAAGGTGCCATCCCTGGCTGGGGTCCTGGGTTCTATAAGAAAGCAGGTTGAGCAAGCCACGGGAAACAAGTCATGTAGCATCACTCCTCCATGGCCTCTGCATCAGCTCCTGCCTCCAGGTTCCCGCCCTGCGTTGGTTCCTGCCCTCACTGTTTCTGATGAACTGTTATGTAAAACTGAGAATGAAATAAACATTTTTGGTCATGGTGTTTCATCACAGCCACAGCAACCCTAACTAAGACACTGATATACAGTGAGACCCCATCTCAGAGGAAAGCAAAAAGGTATTTGGTAACACAGCTTTAAAAAATAAAGAAAAAAAGACTTCTAAGTAAATAAAATTTTCTTTTTGTTTACTAGAAACTTACCAACAAATCTGAATCTTAATTTCATAGCTGGTCTCTTTTGTCTACAAGGATTGATGCTAAGAAACATTTTACACTCCATTAAGTGCACCAAGTCTGAAGTCACATGATCAACTCTGTCAGAACACTGCTTCCTAACAAAACCACAGTGCTTTCTCTAAACTACAATTAACAGTGTCATGTAAACTGACCTCATTTTTTATGGACACTTCTAAATAATGGGTATATGGCACAAATATTAGCACATGCAACTTGTCTATTAACACTTCCATGAGTAAGACAATTACTAGTAACACCGAGGCGAACTCTCCCTATCTGTTGAGATTAGCTGCCAATGAAGATTTAGACACAGTCCTCAATTCTCTCCATTTTACAGTAATGTAGATAGATGCAGGTCCACACCCAGTTCTCACTTTTGGGAGAGTACTCAGTGAGGCTTTGGGCTAGATGGTTTCCTGACTGTCGGCTAAACAGCAATTACATCAGGGAGTACCAATCTGAGCACATTTAAGGTGAGCCAGGCTGGGTACTGAGGCGATCAACGCACACCCGCATAAAGAAACGCCTGTATTATCATTCATGGTCATTTCTCAGTGTTTTCTTTCAATTTTAAGTTCCCTTTCTCCCGTCTGTGCTGACGTAACCACAAGCACTCTCCTGTCCAGTCACGGAGGCAGATAGCACAGCACGGACTTACCTTGAGAAGCTCAATGAGCCTGCACAGTGCCTTCACTGAGGTTTTGGTCATAGGCTTCTGCATGGACATGTAGAGATTCATTGTGGTTTTAATGATGGTACTAATACTATATGCATATAGGAAGCCCTACAAAAGAAAATAAACACTGAGCACAATCACAGGCTTCATCCAGACTTTGTTCTCTATGCATGTAAGCATACCAATAACCGATATTTCTATTATTTTATGTGTCTGTGCAACAGAGGGGGTGTTGGATCTCTCGGAACTGGTGTTATACGCAGTTGTGAGCTGCTGGACTTAAACGTGGGTCCTCTGGAAGAGCACAGTGCTCTTCTCTGAGTCATCTCTCTAAACACTCAAAGTCCCTTTAGAAGTCAATTCTTAAAGAATCAGAACTACTCTTCCTGACAAAACACCACACTGACTTTCAAAACCGCCCTTAACCGTTCCCTGGACTATCAAACACCAGACGTTTGCACTGTTGATGCAACGAATACCAGCTTTTAAACGTCTTTTCACTTAAGTAAGAAAACCTCTCAGTAAAATGGGTTGTGTGTGCCAGGGACACATCTGATAACTCCTCCTCCTCTTCACTGCTGACACCAGAGCAAGGAGCCGAGTGAGGACTGAGACCCGAGAGGAGGCTTCCTTTATGCACGCACACAAAGGAACTTCTGAGCACCAGGACTGCCCACCTTCCTCTGCCTAGACCAGTGCTTCTCATGGCCACGTCACACATTTACGTTACGATTCCTAACAGTGGTAAAGCTGCGCTTGTGAAGCAGCAACAAAACTGAAGTTATGCCTGGTTGTCTCCACAACATGAGTGTCACAGGGCCACAGCACTGGGAAGGAGCCACTGCTCTAACCAATCCCACCGTCCACATCTGTCTGCTCATCCACCTTCTGTCCCCATTCGTTCGTGACAGAGTAAGTCTTCTGAAGCTTAGAAGTGTTCTGGAATGCTGCTAAACTCAGAGAAATAAGAGTAAATAATAAACAGACGGTGGATGAGTTTATATTTAAACTTCTGTGTACATGTGTGCAGGTGTGTGCAGAGGCCAGAAGAGGTCACTGGATCTGCCGGAGCTGGAGTTACAGATGGTAGTAAGCTGTGAACATAGAGTTGGGTGGTGGAAACTGAACTCAGGTCCTCTGGAAAAGTAACAAGCTCTTTTAACTGTCCAGCCATCTTTCCAGTCCCTCACATGTTTCATTTAAATCTCCAAAGGGTTTAAAACTCCATATTTATTTTTTTCTTGTTTCTTTTTAAATTAAAACAAATTTTCATACGCTATTTTGATCATGTTTTCCCCTCCTCTAGTTCTCCCCAGTTCCCTCCCCACCCAACTTATGTTCTCTCTCCATCAAATTAAAAAAAGCCAAAACAAAAAGCACAATCATGGAGTTTGTCAACTCTGGCCAACGACTCCTGAGCATGGGGCCTGCCCTGGAGTGTGGTTGGTATTCCTAGTGCCACTCACTGGGGAAAACTGATTTCTCCTTTTGCCAGCTGGTATCATTGACAAACAGCTTCTAGGCTGGGGGGGGGGGGTCCTGATTTGACTTTGCCATCTCAGTGCTGGGGCTCCCTCTGGGGGAAACTACGCAGGTCTTATGTGTCACAGTACCACAGTCTCTAAGTTAATTCTCTTATTCTAGTTTCCCCTTCACCAATCCGCAGTACTACATTTTATTTCCCCTTCCTTGGGAGGTCCTCCTCTCCCACCCCGGTACCTGACCTCTGTGGTTATTCAGATTGTAGGACACATGCCAAACATTTAAAAGCTAGCACCCTAATAAAAGATTAAATATACAGTACTTGTCCCTTCGGGGGTCTGGGTTACCTCACTCAGATCATTTTTTTCTAATTCCAATTATTTATCTGCAAATTTCATTTTTCTTAATGGCTGAGTAATATCCCATTGTCTAAATGCACCACGATTTCGTTTCCACTCTTCTGTTGAGGGTCTCCTAGGGTATTTCCAATTTGTGGCTATTATGAATAAAGCTCAGTAGGTAAGGTCCCTGCTGCCAAGCCTGACAACCTGAGTTCAATGCCTGGGATCCATGTGGTGAAGGAGAACCAACTTCCACCAGTATCCTTATTTCCACATCTATACTGTGACCCCTTAAGTGCACACACATACACATAAACACACACACAAGATAGATACATGTAATTTAAAAAATATAAAAGATAAAAGAAATCCTCATATATCTGGAAAGAAAGAAAAGAAGGAAGGAGGGCGGGAGGGGGAGGGGGAGGGGAGGGAGGGAGGGAGGGACGGAGGGAGGGAGGGAGGGAGGGAGGGAGAGAGAAGTATCTTTTGTTGTTGTTTTGGGGACAGGGTTTCTCTGTGCAGGCCTGGCTGTCCTGGAACTTGCTCTCTAGACCAGGCTAGCCAAACTCGCAAGAGATCCACCTGCCTCTGCCTCCTGGATGCTGGAATTAAAAGTGTGCACGTTTATAAGTACCTTTCAAACCCCCAAAGGGCACTGTCAAATGGCTTAGCAGGTAAGGGCAGCTGCCACCAAGCCTGGGCCTGAGTCTGAGCTTCAGGACCACATGAATAAAGGAGAGAACAAACCCCACAGGCAGGCCTCTGCTTCTACACGCATATATGCTACCAAACACACAATAAATTAATAAAAACAATCTAAATGTCAAAGTTAAGTTACAATAAAAATGTTCAGGTATTTTGAACCAAAATGAACATTTTAAAGTACTAACTTACAGGCCCCAGCTACAAAGTCCTGCTTAAAAGTACAGAGCTCTGAATGGCTGTGTTGGCGCACAAGAGTTCCACAACCGCTCAGCAAGGAGTGTATCAAAGGTTTGTTTATTTGGGGATAAACTCGCAGAAAGAGTAGCAGCGATCTGCAGTCCTCTGAGAGCACTGGGAACTGGAACTGAATCCAGCAGCCAAGAGGCACGAGCATGGTTTTCACTGCGTTTATGGTAGGTGAGACCACGACCAAGGGGGCTGGTGTCTTAGAGGCTTCTGACCGAAGAAGTTCCCACAACATGGCTGCACTAGGAAACCTAAGGAAGTCAACTTTTGCGGGTCTTACAATGTCTTTTATTTATTTTAAACTGTGTGTGTGTGTATGCGTGCGCACGCACATAATAAACAAACATAAATGCAGCTGCCCAGGGGCCAGAGGCACAGGAGGTTCTAAGGCACCATATGGGTGCTGGGAATAAAACTGGGGGCCTCTGAAAGAGCAGCCAGTGCTCTGACCCACAGAGCCGACTCTCCAGTCTCTCAATTTGTTTGAAATACAAAAACAGACCCCTCCCTTTCACATCTGTGTCCATTGTAACTTCTATAAATTAAATTAAAAAAGAAATTGTACCCAAAAGATTCTAAGAAGAAAATGTGACTACCTGTATAAAAACATTACACCTATTGGTGAGGTCTTCAGCAAACTTATCCATCCTCTGCTCTTTAGACAACATAGACTCCATTTTCATCATCCACGAGCTCACAAAGACGTAGTAAGACTGCACATCTCTAGCAAAGGAAAACATTGAGGTTACTCAGAACACAAACAAAAATATATTTCCATCGCTTCACACTGACAAAAGTAAACTGTAGGTTTCTGTCCTTCAACAGAAGTTCTATAAGTGTATGTAAGTTACTTAACCTACACACATTTACTGAGTGCCCATTCAAGCCTGGCACTAACACAGTACCACTGTGCTGAGAACACAACAGGTGAAAACCCTGGCTCCATGAGGCTTATATTCTAGAAAGGAGAGATGCACAATAAATCAATAACTAAAGTCAAAGTAATTTTTAAAATGTGAGATGATAAATGCTTTTTGTGGGGAGGACCAGGGCCTGGGGTGGTCCTATAATTTTAAATAGGGTAATCACAGCACACTCACAGTGTGGGTGATTTTGTGCCAAGACCCAGATCAGTAAGTAAGATGTGCAAACATGTACAAGAAGAGAGTTTAAGGAGTGTGAGTGACAAGTGCAAAAGCCCTGAGACTTAGGGAAAGGTTCCCAGCATTTAGGTAATAACAAACACCCAGTGTGGCTGGAGCACAAAGGGAGGGGGACAGAAAAGCACAACAGAGGTAGAGGGTGGGTGGGAGAGCAGGGAAGGGCCTGGGGAACAAACGGCCTTGGGGAAAGCAAGAACTTCAACCCAAGTCCTTAAGAGAAACCACTGGAGATGAATGGCCACTGGCTCTAGCAGGTTTTAAGAGGAGGGCTATCACTTTGGCTGTGTTAACGATAAGCCATCGTGAGGATGACACCTATGGGACAACTGTAGTAATACAGGAAAAAGGACAACATCTTCAGCAGTGGACACAGGGGCTGGTGGAATGCTCAGCAGTTAAGAGCAATTCCTGCTCTTGCAAAGAACCTGAGTTCAATTCTCAGCACCTACTTGGCAGCTCAAAACTGGAGTTACAACTCCAGCTCCAGGAGACAGAGGCCCTCTGCTGGCCTTTTGTGTGATGCCTTCTACAACATGAAAAGGTCCAAATGCTGGCAACTACGACAGTTATTATCTGACATCTTCCCCGTCAAAGTCTCGTGTAGCCTTCTAGAGCCTTCCTGAAGCTGACTGCCTCTCAACATTCAGAGACACACATTTTCCTCAGATTTCTCTAAAATTTGCAGACTCCTTATGGCTTTAGAAGAGAAGACATGTTTCCCAGTCATCACCCAGCTCATCTCAAGACCCTACAGTTTGTCACCCTCTTAAAAGGTGGAACCTCCTGAGCTCCATCTCTAGCAACGCAACAGGCAGACAGACCACACACACACACACACTCCCTCCACACATCAGTTAGCCCGCCATCATCATAAGTCAGTCCATTAGACACAATGACACACACCTATAGCCCTAATGCTTAGGAGGCTGAAGCCAGAGGAGGGGCAGAATGTGAGGCCAGTCTGCGCTTTCCAGAAAACACCAACCCAGACAGCAAGAGCCTGTCTCGAAAGGAAAAGGGGGAAAATCAATGAAACTCTGAAAGTACCAACTGCCATGGTGGAGATAAGTCTGTAACGGGGCACTGCTTGTTAATAAAATCCAGGTTTGTACTAGCATTTTAACAGCTCCATCACTGCAGAAAAATGGTAAACTTTTAGGAAGTAAAATACCAACAACATTTTCTGTTTTTTTTTTTCGTTGTTGTTGTTGTTAACATACTGCTACTAAAACCTGACATCTGCCTTTCTGCTTAGACCCTCACCATTAATCTAAATGGAAACCTTGTCTCCCCAGTGCTCGTTCCTGCCCTGAGCAGAGCTGCATAAATCAGCTATTTTTGTCCACTGACCTATGATTAACCACAGGACACAAGAGTCCTCAGATAGCTTAACAGCTATCAGGTATGCTGGATATTTGTCTTCCTCTCCCTTGTGCAGCAGAGGCCCAATTTTAGCCAATCATCCATTTCTTTCTTTTTTTATTATATGTGCGTGTGGGGGGTGTTGGTTAAGACAGGGTTTCTCTGCGTAGCCCTGGCTGTACTGAAGTTCACTCTGTAGACCAGGCTGGCCTCGAACTCACAGAGATCCGCCTGCCTCTACCTCCCAAGTGCTGGGATTAAAGGTGTGCCCCACCATTGCTCCGCACCAATCACCCATTCCTATTGAAGGTAATAAGATGCATGACCAACATAAGGCCAATGACAGGATACTGCTGCATTCCAATGACACTACATCCAGGTTAACGTGCTAGCAATGTACTCAAATCAGAATGCAGTTAATTACTAAACATGATGGTTAACATTGGGGCTCTTTGTATAATTTTGTTTTATACATGATTGAAAAGGTACATAGTAAAAGATTAAAAATACACAAATAAAAGGACTGAGAATATAGTTTGGGGACACGCTTGCCTAGAACTGCACGAGATCCTGGGTTCAATATCTAGTATCATAGTAGAGAGATAAGTCTCAGAAGAAAAAAAAGTTGTCTTTCTAGAAGCAGGACTGAATTACAGAAAAGAATTGAGTTAGAAAAAATTACTTTTAAATTTTAGCTTTTGGGACTTTTGATATCTGCACACATTAGCTTTCATAAAGCATAAATAAAAAGATAGCTCTAGCCTGGGAGATGGCTCAATAGGTAAAGGCACTACCACCAAACCTAACAAACTAGGTTTGATACAGGGATCCAAATAGGCAGATAACACACAAACACACACACACAAAATCCAAAATAGTTTAAAAAAGAGAAGTGAAAGTTCTTAGAAAATCTGGGATCTGGAGGTTCGCTGACAGCACCTGCCACACAAGCCTGAGGACCAGAGTCTGGGTCCAAGCACCCACCACCCACACAGCAGAAGAGGAGAATGGACTCCTGTAAGCTATCTTGTCTTTTACACAAGCACACCTAGACACACTAGACAAATTAATACAGTGAAAACCAAAGACTCACCCTGGAGACTGCAGAGTGTTAGTGAGAACACGTCACCTTGTGGACTCAAGCACTTCCAATACAGGTACCTAAACATCCCCTTCACAGTTACATACGGAACTTACTTGGTAAGTGACTGAGCTTTCTGCTGCAGGAAGGTATCCCTGTGTATTTTAATGGCTTGAAGACTTTTTCTGTCTATAAGTTTGGCAGCTGCTGGCATTTTATGAATCAGAAAATTATCAGGAAACCAAATAATATTGGCAGTTAAAGTGATGGCTGGCACCTGAAATGGAGGAGATTCGAGACAAAATAACTACCAAGCACCTTCCCCCAAGGGTCCTGTTGTGGAAAGAATAAAAGCATGCCTACTGCTGAGGTGAGACAACTTTATTCTGACTAAACAGTAACACAGATGTCACATTAGTAATATATAAGAAGCAAAATGAAATTCAACCTTTCATGACTTTAGTCTATTGCCAGGGCATATTAATAAAATATAAAGAAACAACCTAAAGACAGTTACAACAACCTTAAGGACCTTGTGGTCTGTTATTATTTGATAGTACTACAAAGTTTCAGTTATGAAACCAAGTCATATCATGGAAATAGCAAAGACAAAAATAAACAATGTAACATATTTCTACTTTACTAGCAGGAAGGAGGGACAAGAGGAGACATCAGAGGAAGAGGGAGGCCATGTGGAGAGCACTAACAGGATGCTAGTGTGACCAGGGTGTGGGAGCACGCCTGCAATGACAGCTCTAAGGAGGCTGAGGCCAGCCTGCACTACATAGCAAGACCTCGTCTCAGAAATAAAGCAAACAAGTTAACGTGCGCGCACGCGCACACACACACACACCACTCACCACACATACATTCATGAAATGCAGCTATTTTCATTTATCATATTGCTCACTTCAAGAATGTGTACACTCGCAACTCTATGGTTTTATTTCTGCATGTATGTGTGGTGTGCATGCATGCCTTTTCATGTGTGTGGGTACACACATGTGAGCACATGTATATATTGAAGCCCACGTGACACTGAGGGTCTCTCCCCATTGCTCTCCACTGTAGTCATCCAGAGTTCTAGGACACATGTCAGTATTATCACTAGCTTGCGAGATATGGTCTCTGCCTTCACTTCCATGAGTTCTGGTAACCTCCACTCCAATCGTCACAGTGTACTACAAGCACTAATCCATGATGACAGCTCCCCTGCTCTATTATTTTAACACAGTTTTATATTTCATAAAAGGTAACATTCTTTTTTCAATAACTTTTTATTAGCACTTTTATAACATATCTAGTTTTATCCAAACTTATATCACAAATTGAAAATAAAAAGTTTCAAGTTCTTACCTTCTTACAAATGTCCAATAAAGACTTATAAAACTTTTTATCAACAGTTCGAAAAATTTGAAAATGCAACACAAAGAGCCCACAAACTCCAACATACTTTTCTCTCTGGTCAATTTCAGAAGGCTCACCTTATAAAGGGACAACAGACAAACAGAACCAACCATAGGTAAAGTGGGCTTTTAAGGACATGTAAACTTGATAAACACTCAAACGCAAAATTTACATTACCAAGTTTGGCTTCCACGTTTGCAAAAATTGAGCGAATGCTATGTGCAAATTCTTCCGCAAAAGTGCTGTTTTTCGACACAGATATTCCTCCATTGAGGGAATCAAACTGCTGTTCAATACAGGCCTAGACAGGAAACATTTGGAGAGAAATTCAGTCTCTAGGGAACAAACGAGCAAACACCTAGGTAAGATGAAACACTCGGTACTCATTTTAACTACACTGGGTCTCATGCTCTTTAATATTTAAATCCTTTGACAAGGTATGTGTATGTACTGACAGTGAGCGCCATCACACAGCACTCAAACCCCAACTGAGATCCGAGTGAAGCAGAAATGAACGGAAGGGATCACTGCTGATGTACTGCAAAGTGGTGGGGTTTCTGTTTGTTTGAGAAAGGGTCTATGTAGCCCTGGCTGGCCTCGAACTCAAGGATCTGTCTGTGTCTGCCTCCCAAACGCTGGGATTAACAGTGTGTTCCACCACACCCAGCAGAAAGCATTTTTAAAAATTTGCAGGTATAAGTGTTATGCTTACACATATGTCTCTGCACTACATGCATGAACTGCCTATGGAGGCCAGAAGAGGGTATCAGATACCCTGCAACTGGAGTTACTGATGGCTGTGAGCCACCACATGGGAGCTGGGAATCAAGCCCACGTCCTCTTCAAGGCAGTACTGCTGAGTCACCTCTCCAGCTGCTACATCTTTTTGTGAAGAGCACCTTTAGGAGCTTCTGTTCATTTAGTTATTACAATTCCTTTCTTAGCTTTCTCCTCCCCGCCCCCTTTGGGGAGTGTCTCACTCTGTAGCCCAAGTTGTCCTCAGATTATGATAATCCTGCTTGAATTTCCCAAGTACTAGGAGATAATGGGCATGAGCCACAATACCCAGCTCCTAGCATACTCTGTGCAGAAATGTAGCCAGAGTTACAATACCCAGCTCCTAGCATACTCTGCAGAAATGTCCCCAAGAGGGAAAACAAAGCATCTAAGAGACTGATAAACCCACTTTAAAAACCAAGAGCTGGGTCCATCTGTTAAAACTGTAATAATATAGAACTAGACACACAACTCTGAAGCAGACAGAGAGGACACCACCCCTCGGCGCTGCTAAGGTCCTTCTGGGAGGAAGACAATGTGCTGCTTCTGTACTGTCCACATAGGGAGAACATAGAAGTGATGTTTCTAACTAATGTTAGCTGGTTTCAATTTAGAAGGCATGCATTTGTGCACATGTACTGAGTGTAGAGGAATTAACTAAGCTTTTATTTGGCTTTGCTAAGGGTTTTGATTTGTTCTTTGTAGATCTGGGGATTAAATCCAGGACCCTGAGCATACCAAAGTGAACGCCCTACCACTCAACTGCATCTCCAGCCCTTCAAATTTATTTTAATCTTAAAAAATCTCACTCTAGAAGCTAGTAACAAACATAATGCAAATAATTAAGTCTTAGGTTTTTGTCTTTGTTTTTGAAATGGGATATCATTATGTATCTCAAGATGACCTAGAATTCACTTTGCACACCAGGCTAGCCTTGAAGTCTTGAACAGTTTCCTGTGTGCTGGAACTATAGAAGTGTATCACCATGCCGGATTCAATTTTATATTTTTGCATAGTTTAAATTTTAAAACCCTCTAAAAAAAAATAAATAAAACCATTTAATAAATATTTAGTTTAGCTTGGTAAAAAAAAAAATTTAAAACCCTCATTATAAGTAACTTTTTATTTTGTTTACTATTAGACACTGAGTTATACTTTAATATACTAATAATTAATTTTTTTAAGACAAATCACTTTCTAAAGAAAAGAAATGTCAGTAGTCAGGCAGTGGTGGCACACTCCTTTAATCCCAGCACTCAGGAGGCAGAGGCAGGTGGATCTCTGCCAAGGCCAGCCTGGTCTACAGTGTGAGTTCCAGACAGCCAGGGCTGTTACACAGAGAAACCCTGTCTCAAAAAAAAAGAAAGAAAGAAAGAAAAAAGAAAAGTAAAGAAATTCAAAGTATTCTACAAAAGTGTCCCCCCGTAATTTGGAGCTGCACCAATCTCTACTTACCTGAAATATCATTCCATCAAGTAACTGCCCTTCCAACTTCAGCAAGAACTTTTCAAATGGCTTTAATTTTTCTTCCTGAATCCCAAATTTCGAAGGGTTGTGATGGACAGACTTCAGTAACCTTGTAGATTTAAAGAAAGAGCTTAAATCTATCTAATAAATTCTTAAAAGCTAAAAATATTCCAGGAAATAAAATTTTGTATTTACTATTCCTTCCTCGGCTCTCCACATTGGAAAACACGGATGGAGCAATGTTAATGAAATTCTTACACTTTTTATCGCCTTTATTCAGCTGCCTATTGCTCTGCACTAACCAAATACTCAATGACAACTTGTAAACTGAATAAAAATTTAAGAGTGTTCCAGCGTATGTAATCAAATAAATCAAAAGCAAGGCAGAAACTTTCATTTGCACAGAACCCCAAAGGGAACCTGTAAGCTTCTGCAGCACTGAGCATGCTCACACACATCTCTCTCACAAAATCCCATCTAACAGCAGGGCTGACTGCCTTCATGAAACTACTGGACACCACAGGGCTGGAGAAACAGTTCAGTGACTCAAGAGCTGAGCCCTGCAGAGGAAACCTGAGCCCAGTTCCCAGCGCTCCCATCAGGTGGCTCACAACATGGGACTGTGGCTCCAGGGAATCCAGCTCCCTCTTCTGGCCTCCCTAGGCACTGACCCATGTGCGGACACACATGGAGACAGGCAGACATAAACACATACACACAAATAAAAATAAATATTGGACATGAATTTCTTTTCATTAGAGTTGCTAGGTCTTGTTAAGAATCTGAATAATTTGTAACTGTTTAGTTTTACCAAACTAACACACCAACTGTACAAAGTAAGTATTTTAGGTGGCGTACCTTTTGTACATGGTCCAATGGTCTTTCAGTGTGACATGATTGTCAACAATTTCATCCAGGGTAAGTAAAACTGTTAGCAGTTCTCCCAAGTGCTCATACATAGTCTGTCAAAAAACCTTTAATGATTATCATTTAGTCACTCGTTAGAAGTCTCATGTGAACTTTTAAAGAAAAACAAATGTGGGCTCATTATTAAATTGGTGAAAGGAGGCACCAATTGGCTTATTAACTACAGTTCTGAGTTCAAATGGTACTAGCCTAAATACAATATATTTTACTTAATATTTCTTCCTTAATTGTGACGCTGCAGATTTATTCACTGGCAACAGAAAATCTGCACGGAACACTACCGGGAAAAACTACAAGAGGCAGTGCAGAGTAAGAGATGCCTTGACAACCGCATGGACGGAGGGAACACAACAACAGGGGTGGAGATGGGTTACACTTCTTAATTATACAAATTCCAAAATAAAATAGAAAAATTAACTTTTACCTGAAAATGAACTCCAGTTGTCTCTATAATTTTGGGTCCTATCCTATAATAAAACAATACCAAAGTTTAAAAAAAAAAACACCTTTATGGTTAGAGTTCATTCTAAATTCAAGAAACCAATACAGGAGCAGAAACTCTGACTTGTCTGGGCTACCCCTGCTATATGGCACTCACAGGTAAAGACCTGACAACTGGCCAATGACCCGAGTTTCTTAACCCTAAAGGATGAGCCTTGGCATAGAAGTAGAGGAAGCACACTGATGAATTATGAGTCTCTCAGTTAGCAACTATAATCTGTTCACTCTACCAAAACTGGCACCTGGAGAGTCCTAAGAACAAACCAAACTCCTTCAGTTCTCACTCCTGCTAAGAAGCAATGAACCACACCCTCTACGGTTACACCACTTACTTCCTTCTGAACTTAATCAATATAGTTCTTACATATCAAACTACATATGAAGTATTCCAGAATACAGGACGCACATCTAAAGTTGAACAAAATCTTTAAATATTATCTTTCTATAGCAGGAACGAGGAAGAGTCCCCAGGATTCCACCCCAGGTAGTGGGGGAGAGGGGGAGTGTGGAGATCTGGGACTACCATCCTTTGCACTGAGTGGGGGAGGGGACTGCCACTCCTTTGCTCCTGGTATAATGATTGCTTTGGTGAAGAGCCAGAATACATAAAGACAGCAAACTGACCAGAAGTCCCCGAGAGTGAGGTGATAAATGTCCTCTACCCCCTCACAGCGTGGTACAGAAGGAACAACAAATGGACTGCTGACCACAAGGAACAGTACCAAAGCTGCCGTGAGATCGTGGTAATGCCACCTCTGGGTCTTGGCTCTCATTAAAGTATGAGTCACATCCCTCAACAGCGGTACAATAGATGTAGAAAAAAATACAAAGAACTGACCAAAGGTTAGATGTAATTTATGGTGATAAGAACAGCAAGGGCACTATGGAAATTTGATCAGTTCTTAATTTAGGGTCGATCTGGAAGATCATTAGAATTTTAAGTTCTTTTTCAGTGTAGACTGCCTACACTCGCTCCATCCCCAAGACTCTGTAGTTTAAGAAAAGTCATATGACCACTAAATGTACGCAGGAAAAAATAAAACACTGTGTGTGAACTAATTCTGTATCAGTTTTTTTCTATCGTGAAATATCTTTAAAATTTTTTGTCCAACATTCTCATGTTGACAGAAATCAAGTTCGTAACTTGGTGAAAACTGCAGCTCATTAGTCTATAAACACACACACACACACGTCCAGCAGTACCTAAACATCCTAAGTGTACATACTGAGTAAATAAATGAATACAAAGCTATTTCAAATAATTACTTTTCTAAGAAGTACTCCCTCTACTTCATGAAAGTCAAACAATGCCAAAGTGCATTACTTGTTGCTGATGTAGAGGGCAGCCAGCTGGTGGATGACATTCACCACCACTTCATAGCACCTCGTGACAAAACAGGACAGCTCCTGAAAGGACAAGGAGAGTATACATCACAGGGTTGCTTCAGGAACGTCACGACATTTGGGCAGAACGTTCTAACACAACCCAAACAGTTTCAGGTCGAATCCCCAGATACCCAACAGCCAGACAGAAGCCCTCAAGCAACACTGCCCTCAGCTCCTGCACAGCGGGTCATCCCTGTCTCTGCTGCCCCTGCTTCACTCTCGCAGTCTGAGCCCACCCCTGCCCTGTAAATGAATGACAATGGCTTCCAGAAGTGTGACCAAGACAGAGCAAGGTCCACTAGTCACTAGGTCACTTCATGTGTTATCTTTGGTCACATATATGTACCTTGGCACACACCAAATGCAATATCACTTACCCCAAAGATATTAATTCACTCTGCTGGGCCCAGACCTCACCCACTCTATAAACTATAAGTCCTGAGCAAGAGTTTTCATTGCTTTTATGTGCTGGTTTCCTCCGTCATCAAGAGTAGCTTCACGGCGCGTGCGCACGCGCGCACACACACACACAAGCACGCACACACACACAGCCCACTGAACACCTCAGATGAACTCTGGGACAGTAAACTTTTTACACAGCTTTTAGTGACACATAAACAGAATCTGAAGTCTTTCAAAGTAAAAATAATGTTATTTTTTTTTTTTTAAAAAAAAAACAGCTTTTTGCTACATAGGCCAGACTAGCCTTCAACTCATGATCCCGGCTCAGCCTTCTCAGTGCTTGGAGTCCTAGGATACAGGCATTATCAATGTGCTAAGTAATAGATTTTAATTTCAAACAGCTCATTTTACATGTTATTAAACTTCTGAAGGTTAAATGCTAGCAGGAGAATAAAAAATACAAAGCACACCAAAAAGGCAGAAATAAGTTCGGATTCTGTAAGACAGAAATAGATGGAGTCAATTAAAAGACTGTCAGACGGTATAAAAAACAAAACAAAACTGGAATCCATCCATTTGCTGTTTTCCCTCCAATACTGAGAAGCACTGCTAGCTCACTTGGATGTTTCACAGACACTAGAGCGCTCCCGGACAATCAGTACGCTGGAGCGCAGCTAACAAGGCTCCTGCTGAGTGTGTGAGCACCTATGTACAGGTATCCACACGGAGGGACTGGATCCCTAGTGAAGTTACACGTAGCTGTGAGCCCCGATACTCAACTAGGGTTCTCTGGAAACAGTACATGTTGTTAACCAGTGAACCAAAATGAGCTCTCCAGCACACAATTTTTTTTTATCTTACTTTTTTTGTTTATGGTCTTATCTACATGTGTGTCTGTGCCAAAAGAGGGTACTGGGTCCCTCCAAACCAGAGTTATAGACAGCTGTAAGCTACCATGTGAGCAGATGCTGGGACCTGGGAATCAAACCTCAGAATTGCAGGGAAGAGCAGCTGATGTGGGAGTGATTTCTTTCTAATCTGTTGCTTTCATTGGTTAATTAATAAAGAAACTGCCTAGGCCCATTTGATAGGCCAACCCTTAGGTGGGTGGAGTAAACAGAATGCTGGGAGAAAGAAAGCTGAGTCAGTGAGTCGCCATGATTCTCCCACTCCAGACAGCCGCAGGTTAAGATCTTCTCTGGTAAGCCACCTCATGGGCTACACACATTATTAGAAATGGGCTAGTCCAGGTGCGAGAGTTAGCCGAGAAAAGGCTAGATATAATGGGCCAAGCGGTGTTTAAAAGAATACAGTTTCCGTGTAATTATTTCAGGTAAAGCCAGCCGGGTGGCGGGACACAGCCCGCCGCTCATATTTCAACAAGCAGCCAGTGCTCTTCATGGCTGAGCCATCTCTCCAGCCCCCCACCAAAAATTTTTAAAGTTAAAAACAATATTATTCACAAATGAAACTATACAAATCAAATTATACAAATTATATAATCTATCAAAACAATTTTAAACAACTGTTCACATCTCTTGATACCTTATTCTCCAAAATTCCCTTAGAAACAGTTCAGGAGTCACAATGGCCTACACTATAACTACACTAATGCTTCACTCTCTGAGTGCACAAGTCCTCGGCATTGAATGTTTCACAACTTTTCAATCATGTGCAATTTTTATGCAAAATTACAAAGAGAAGACTCAGCCAGACATAATGAGGCACACCTTTAATCTCAGAATGTGAAGTGCCTGAGGCAGTGACCCTCTTATAAATCTGAGGCCAGCGTAGTCTAGACAGTAAGCTCCAGAAAGTCAAGGCTACCTAGTAAGACCCTATCTTGAATAAATAAATAAATGGCTCAAGAGAAAGTAAAAAAAATCAGCTACCTTAAAAACAATAGTTACCTGTAAGAATGAAACGAATCTCCCCATTTGAATTTGGCAGTCACCTTCCACCATACTGGAATCTGTAGCTTTAAAAAGCAGCATGAATTTTATTTCTATTTTTATTTAAATCCAGCAACAAAGACAAACAATTCTTTTACTAGTGCCCAGTACCGAAACACTGGACTTTTAACACTGAAGAGAAAAATGGCAAAGCCATAAACTATATACAACATCCAGCAGCCACGCCTGACTGCCACGCGAACCCCCACACTGGTCCCATCACAGGACCGTGCTGACACAACACATGCCGGCTCTAGAGGGTCTGCTGCCATACTCCACTTCTCACTTGTTAACCAATCCATGCACCAACGAGACAACTCAATGTCAGGGCTGGAGGGCGGCTCAGCAGCTCAGAACACTTGCTGCTCCTCCAGAGGACCACAGTTTACATTTCCAGCACCCACACAGGGAGGCCCCTATGGGCACCCACATACACAAAATATATCTTTAAAAATTTCTGAATGTTTGTTTTTTCTAATCTGTTAGCTTTTGGCTCACTTCAAGTTTCATAAAAGGCAGCAACAAATGCAATTCTAAAATTTGAACTTACCTCCTTCACCATAAAACAAAAGGCCATTGTAAAACTTAGTTTCCGCCTGTTTAAAAGAAAATCAAAATAATTTAAAAGGTTGCTTTCAAATCCTAAACTTTCTTAACGCTCTAATGACATGCGACATGGCTTACACATAAATCTCAGAATCTGCTCTCAGATGATCAACTTCTCTTTACAGGGACGAAGATAACCACTGATACCCAAGCTGAGCTTGGCCCTCTAGCCTGTACTCCATCGTCTGGTCCTCTAGCCTGTACTCCATCGTCTGGCCCTCTAGCCTGTACTCCATCGTCTGCCCACCCTCAAGATCACTCATCTCCCCACCGGTTCAGTTGCACTCACAGAACATAAAGAAGGGGAGGGAAAATAACGGAAGTTCACCAAGGTCTACAATGGCTCCAAATCCAAATCCATATAAAAAGTTTAAACTTAAAAGGAAAAACAACAACAAAAGGCTGGAAGTGGTGGCGCACACTCAGGAAGCAGAGGCAGGGGGATCTCAGTGAGTTCCAGGCCACGGTCTACAGAGCGAGTTCCAGGACAGCCAGGGATGTTACACAGAGAAACCTTGTCTTGGGGAGAGGAGGGTAGGGAGGGGGTGTACCTGGACAGCCAGCACACACACCACATATACTACTCTGGAGGCAGGCAGGCCTAGATTCACACTGCTACTTTTAGCAATACCCACTGTAAGCCCCAATTTCTCAACCTGTTCCTCACCTGCTGAGTCCTCACCCTACACATAACACAGTAACCACTCAATGAGTGCCAGACTATTCTAAGTCCTTCAGGACTGCTATTATTGTAAGTGGGTCAGTATTTACTGCACACTGCTTTTAATTGATCTTAAAGAAGAGAAACAATTACCTCATACTTTAATTTCTTGATTTCACAACAAAGTGCAGCATACACAGTGATGACTTTGTTTAGGACCTGGTTTCAAAAATAAAGACAGAAAAAGTGAGTGGTAAGCACCAAGAGCGTTCTCTGAATGCTCTTTAGGTTAGGACAATTACCTTGTTCTCAGTCTTTATGAGCTCCAAGAGGGAGGACTGCTCATAGGGCAGAAGCTACAGAAACAAAGGGAAAGAACATCTTTTAATTTGAAGGGAAGAAAAAAAAAACACTGAAATTTTAAATATATAAAATGAGATTAAATGGATTACAGTTAAACTTGTGTTAGACCCTATAGTCAGTCAACATTAGCATCAACTCAACTACTATGTTTAAGATAATTTTAACAAAGGAAGAAAGGTACAATCACTCGAGAAACAGCCTGCACACAACACGAGGCACCCAAACAGCTCCAGCTGTGCCCAACAGAAAGTGGCTGAAAGTGGGAGAACACTAAGAAAAGACTAACAGTGAGCTCTGTCCTTTCAGAAACTGTTATGCAAGCATACACTTAGTAAGATGTCGTAACTAAACGGGCCAAATTTAAGTCATTACATCTGATGCAGCTTCATTTCCTTCTGGCTCTAAAGCTTTCCTGATTAGTAACTAAAACGAGTTTTCTATTAAGTGAAAACTGGACCTTTCTTTTAGTTACATACTAACAATAAAGTACATACGTAAATTAAAAATAACTTCTCTCATTTAGTTTGCAATTTCTATTTATAAGGATCTTATCAGAATCTATAACCTTTGCAGAGCAGGAACATAAAATAATTTCCCAATAAAGGGACTAAAGAAAGGTCCCAGGGTAAGCTGGGAGAGAAAGGGCTGTACAAGAGGATAAATGTATAAAGAGATTTTAAAGTTTCTGTTGTCCGAAGACTAAAGCTGAGACAATTTCATTGTCCGAAGACTAAAGCTGAGACAATTTCATTGTTTCACAAAGCCATGAGGCTGCATTTCACATCCATTAAGATAGGGTTGATTTTAAAAGACAAACAATAACAAACTTTGGCAACAATGTAGAGACACTGAAACCCCCATATATTACTGATAGGGACGAAAAACAGTGTGGCCACAGGAAAAAGATGAGAAGGGGGTCAGCAAAATGGCTCAACAGGTAAAGGCACTTGTTACCAAGCCGGGTGGTGATCTACGTTCGGCGCATCTACGTTCGGCGCCCAGAAGACACATGGAAGAAAAGAACTGGCTCCTACAAGTTGTACTCTTTCCACACACACCATGGCACAGCACATGCACACAAACACACACAAATATGTGTACAGTAAAATCCTCAGAAAACTAAGCATAGCTACCAAACGACTCAGTAATTCTGCTTCAAGTATAATGCATGACATGAAAACATGTGTACATAAAACCCTAGGACACATAATTAGCATTAGTTCCAACAGCCAAAACTGGAAAACCTAGATGTCTATCCCTAAAGAATGGACAGCTCGGGCTGGAGAGATGGCTCAGAGGTTAAGAGCACTGGCTGCTCTTCGGAAGGACCCGGGTTCAGTTCCCAGCACTCACATGGCAGCTCACAACTCTCTGTAATTCCAACTGCCAAGGATCCACATGAAGACACAACACAATGCACACAAAATAAGAAATTGCTTTTAGAAAGGCATTCCCACATTAAGATCCCCGATGTCATCCCTGTTGAGAAATGACAGCAATGTTTCCATCTTCATTAGATATGAGTGGATGAGCTCTGGGCTCAGCAAGACTCGGTGAGAAATCTTCAAACCTGTGTGTTTGCCTGTGTGAAACAGCTGCAACGAAAGAAACAAAGCCAGTGTCCACCTAGCTCTGTGTTGAAGACCAAAACAATGACTAGGTGCAATAATTGGACTTTGTGTTATGATACTGTAAGATTGTCATTCTTTCAGAAATACATATTTTTTTAATGAAATTAATTCAGACCTTTAATGCTATAGGATCAAGATTGAAATCCCAAACATCTCCAATCAAATCATCCAGTGCGTCCTCAATTCTTCTCAGCTGAGATGTATACTCCTCAAGGAATTTCCCGTAGTTCTTAAGCTGGACTTCAGCATGAATTTCTAAATTGTAAAACAGAAAGTTACAATTACAACTACTGAATGGCAGAACACTAGCTTCAAGTGATCTCAGTAAAGCAGCAAAACACGGTCAATGACTACCTTGGAGTGCCTCACTCCATGGAAATAGGCTCCAAAGTTAAAGAGTCATTCGGCTTTGAATTTTCTCCAAATATGTCAAAGTACTCAAAACCTGCAGCCCTTACCCTAGGATCTGGGGCTACCAACCAGCCCGAGTCATGCCTCAGACAACCCAGGGTCCAGAAGCTATCCTATGTTATTTTGGTCACACACAACTCTGCTGCAAAGGTTATCAGCTACCTGATGGGAAGCAGGTACAAAATTCTGTGTTGTTATAGAGCAAACTGTAAAAAGGTTGGTTAATTTTATACATAGTAAAATGTTTAAGAATACAATCAAATCTATTTTACATGTAGGTTTTAGACCTGCTACACTGTATTATTATTTCTCTAATTCCCAACTTACCAAAATGCTTTACTTGTTCAATTTTTTAGTTATTATAATCAACATGTATAAGCCAGATAAAACATACTGGCTGAGGTGGGGGCTGGAGAGATGGCCTATCCACTGAGAGCACTGGCTGCTCCTATTACTGGGGTTCAGAGGACCGCGGTTCAGTTCCCAGCACCCATGTGTCGATTCTGTAACTCTAGACCCAGGAGATCCAATATCAGCTTCTGGCCTCTGCAGGTACTGCACACACATGTAAGATAATAAAACATAACAAAAAAACAGCTGGGACCCACAAAATTTATATATTAGTACATGACCTTAAGCTTAGAGCCACTGAAATAAGTTGGATTTTTCAGAAGCCTATTCACCAAAATTAATAAACATTCCATCTTATACCTAAGAATTCATTACTGATTCCAAAAATTCAACTTAAATTCAGTTCTTTGTCGTCTTAAAAAAAGGTTTTTTTTTTTCCCTTCAAATTTGAAATGTGGAGCCATTATGAAATAAAGTCCTGACTCACACTGTGGGGAAATAAAGACACCTGTCCTCTATTTTGCTACTGAGGCCCTGAATCAGGGGCATCAATTCAGTTCACTTAGACTGCTGTCTCAATATAGCACTCAGTTAATTTTGGAAAACAATTAGTCTAGATATGAATCAAAGTCCAAAAACTAATGGAAACCAGGCAAAGAGAAATCTCCTACCTACAGCTAACAATCCCATGTTAATGTCTTACTCTATTGTATGGGAAATGGCTAAAGTATCACTTGACCAGCAAATGGGTTCTTAAAGACCGCACTAGAAAAACACGCTCTTAGATCAGCTGGTGAGACCAAGGTTAGAAACACCTGAAAACCTGCAGAAGCATTTTAAGCTCTTTGCTGATAAGGTATCTAACAGCTCTGAGCTCATAAAAGTTAAAGTGCACACCACACTTCCCTCCCAACGAACTGCATTTCTTGGTTTATTTTTCTTATTCCTTTTCAACTTAGGATAGAGCGTTAAGGGCTTTATCACAGCGCATCCACACACACGTGTACGCACAGGTGTGCTTACCTTGTGTCCTCACCCAAGCTCTCTCTCCCCTCCTTTCCCCAGTCCTGTTTTCCCCAACCCTCTAGGGTCTAAAACAACGCTCACATGGTATTATGATTAACCAGCTGATCATTCTACTTCAAGCTGAAACAAATTCAAGCCCTATATACCTTCATTCCAACTTCGGTCAGATGCAAAACAAAAAAGAACACCTGACAAGGTACAGTTCACTTTAAAATACAAAACCCAAAAGTGGTTATTATCCTTTCGCCCAGATCTTTATGCCGCATACAATTAAGGAATGTTTACTGAAATACTGCACGGAACAGGACCCGGATGTAAAGGCAACTAAAACCTCAGTATATATAAATCTGTACATGCTAAATCTCTAAAATAATCTGCAATTCAGCTGTAATTTTTTTTGAAATGGCATTCCTACTTTGGGGAAAGATACACATTTTAAAAATTCTCAAACAACTACCCCAATTTCTCTTCTATGACTCAGAAGATAAGAAACAAATCAATCACAAGAGTTTCTCATATAATTATTAGGTTGGCTTGTACATTTCACTGACACAAACTGCGATGCTTTTAGGGTTGTACCTCTGATTTTAAAAATAAAACCGGACGACTCGATTTCATTAAGCAACTGCGAAGCAGATCTTGTAAAAATAATTAAAATAAATTAAATTTTAAAAGAAAATTCGGCTGCAATGACAATTACAGAAGTTTTTTTTTTTTTTAACCATATAAAATCAATAAAAGGCCTAGGATTGATAAGATGACATTCCCGTGTTGACTGATGTTTTGGTTTTGGCTTTTTTTTTTTTTAAATGCCAGGAAGAGTTATTTTTCCGCTATCTTCCATGGTTCTAGGAACGCGAACCCAAACTTCAATAAAGTTGATTTGAGAAGTAAAAAAAAAGAAAACAGGAAACCGAAACGGGAACCCAGACTCTTCTAAAACTGAAGGCTCAGAGCATCTGGCGTCAGCCCTGGGATGGGATGGGCATCCCGGGGAGGCTGGCCTGTCGTGGCGGGCCCCCAGGGAGCGAGCGCCGCTGGCCGGTCCCCCGCCTCCGCGAGGGACACCGGGCACCCGAGCGGCTCGACGCGACCCCGGCAGTCACGCAGCGCCGCGTCCCACCCCAGGGGACAGTCCCCAGCGGGCGGCCGCGCCTTCCCGCGCCGTCCGACGTCCCTCGGCCGCGCCACCCGGCCCGCCTCGCCCGACACCCGGAGACTCACTCTGAGAGCCGTCGTCCACGCGGTCGAACTCCCAGTCCGGCGACAGAGTGTCCACGGCCATCGCCGCGGCGGCGCCTCCCACAGACACAGCACCGAGCTGCCACCGCCGCGACACGGGCCTCACCCCAGCTGCTGTCACGGCACGTGACTTCCGGGACCCGGCCCCGCCCCCGCGCGCCACAGCCAGTGGACGCTCGGCCCTACGGACCGCGGGGGCCTCTGGGAAAGCGAGTCCGTCCGCCTGCGCCCGGCGGGGCCGCCATAGTGACCATGGCTGTTGGCATCCTGCACCCTTTCCCTGTCCTCGCTGCCGTTTGCGTCTGTTCTCAAGCCACATTCAGTTTCTCCTATGCTGCGTCCAGGCTGTTTAAACACCTGAGGGAGCTACTCTATCAGTCTAACAGGGAAAGAGCGGAAATAACGGGGTGGGGACCAACGCAAAGACAGGGTCCTTCACCAGGACACTGCCCTGGCCCTCGGACCAAGATGCTTGCCTCACCAGCTCTTTTCTGACTTTACCCTCGCAGTTCCCACCCCGTGCATGTCCTGCCCCATTTGTTTTTGTTTGTTTTGTTTTTTGACAAAAGACCTCTGTGTATAGAAGAGTAGTGACTTTAAGAAGGCTATCAAACAACCTCACTACTGGATTTGCTTTACACCGATTACTGCTCTTCCTCCCTTGTTTGGAAGACGGTGGGATTGGAATTTGTTACCCCAAGTTCTACATTTACCCTAAAATTTACACAAAAAGCTTCCTATCAGCCCGGTTTTTAAGAAGTGCTAATACGAAACAGTCTAAAGAGCCATCAAAAAGTAATAATATAAAACTTAATCATTCATACTCTGAATTCCTAGAGAGCTATGTAATGAAATAGGTCTCAAATGGCGTGAAAAATAAAAGGACAGGAGGCAATTTTAGAACATCGCATATTTGCCGTTAAAGTACAATCTATGTAAACATGCCCGTGTGGTTGCAAATACATAGGAGAATTCAAATCTCGTTAAGACAACGGTTTACTTGGGAATGAGTAGATGCTGATATATACAAAGTGGCTCTTATATTTTTCTTGTCTATTAGCTGACTCTTTTGCAAGTATAGTTTTTAAGTTATTTGCATCATAGAGTACCAAAAATCAATAAAGAATATTCTCTTGAAAAGCATGTTCTGAGATGTTGAGGTTTGGACATGGTTTTGAGACAAGATCCCAATACCATAGCTGAGTGGCCCTGTTGCTACTGGGTCTGCAGCAGGGCATTAGACCGAAACCTCCGAAGATCTGAGCCAAAAAATGACCATCTTCTTTGTAAGATACCGATCTCAAGAACGTGTTACAGTGACACCTGTCACACCCGAGAGGACTTCCTGCGCCTCTGCCTTCAGGATGTCCCGTTGGAATGTTCGGTGTCTTTCTGTAGCGTGCAGGGTTCTGGCAGCCTTCTTTAGCTTCCATATGGTAGCTGTTGGCAGCTTCTGACTCAAATCATCACAAAACTAAATCCAGCCTACGGGAGAAAGAGCACGCTTAACTAATAACTCGAACAAAAGTCACGGAATCAAGTCTTGCCAGTAGTGATTGCCTTTCCTGGTACTGGCGCACACCTTCCAGCCTGTCTTGGAAATAGGAAGAACGGGAGTGATGGACACATTGGCTGAGTGTAGGTCACGTGCTCCGCGGATGCAGAGAGCAAAGGAAAAAGCAACACTGCAGGAATCGTTTGGCCTGGGAGTGGAAGAGACTAGCCTATATGGAAAACAGTGGGTATTATTAGCACAAGGAGAGGGTGTATATGGCCGGGGGAGAGCTATGATAGTGATTTTACCGCTGAGCCACTTGGTCTTAGCAGCCAAGCATCTCACGGTGACTATGGTGTAGGTATTGGAGTTAGCAATTAACTATTACAGCAGGACGGCTTTTTTAAAATACGATTATTTCAGCTGGAGAGGTGTCTCAGCAATTAAGAGCACTTGCTGCTCTTCCAGTGGTCCTGACTTCAATTCCCAGCAATCACATGGTGACTCACAACCGTCCTATAATGAGATATGGTGCCCTCTTCTGGCCTACCGGCATACATGCAGACAGAACACTGTATACATAATAAATAAAATCTTTGTAAGAAGATTGTTTTTAAAAAAAAGACTATTTTGTAATAATTTTATTATTTAGATGCTTACATTTAGAATTTTAGATAAAAGAACTTCTAGGACTTTACTAACGCAGATAACATTTATTTTGTGCTTATTGCTGTTGTTATTGTTAAGCCCAGGGAACTCAGACTAACCTTGAACTCTCAAACTGACGCTGGCCTTGAATTCCAAATCTTCCTGCCTCCACTTGTTAAGTGGTGGGATTACAAGCATGTGACACTATGCCTGACTTTGCAAGGAAATTTTTTTTAAAAAATCAATGATTTTTTTCTAACAAACCCAAACAGAAACAGAAATCTGGAAAAGAGTTGAAGAATGGGCAATCAGGGCTTGTTGATCTATAAAAAGAAAAGGGCCTAAAAAAATAAAAAAAAGAAAAAAAGAAAAAAAAAGAAAAGGGTCTGGCAGAAATATGTTTGGAGGAAAGTCACGAGTCTAAGAACACATATATCACCAAAGTTTGATAAGGTCTTCCTTTAAATATACTATAATTTCATGCTATGTCAACTAGACATTTCCACAGGAACTTTACGTGGGCATCTGATCAACGTCATTGAACCCACAACGGAATTCTGGGTATTCCACTCCCAGACCTGCTTCCCACCCTGTGTGAGATCCACAGTTTACTTAGTTAATAGCTGTGTGACTCAGCCAGTCTGGGTACAACCACAAGGCTTTCTGTTTCTCATCTTCTTTCTAGAAATCAGTGAAAGGTTAAAGGAATCTTATTTTTTCAAATGAGATGCAAACATCGCCAGGATCAAAATGGAGTCTCATGCGGGTAAAGACGGCCCAGGAGGTACAGGTGCTTGTCACCACGCCTGATGACCTGAGTTCAACCGCTGGGACCCGCACCGTGAAAGGAGAGGACGACTAACTTCTGACGTTTGTCCATGGACCTCCACATGCCCGCCCTGTGTTGTACGTAGATAAGTAAAACGTTAAAATAAAATGAGGTCTCTTGTCAACCCTACAAAAAAAAAAAAGCAAAATGAATGAAGCCAGGAGGTTGTGCAGAAAGGGTCCTGTACCCATGACTGCCTAATAATCATCATCACAAAATATTCCGTCATATCTCAATGTTTGCAAGGAGGGCTAGGCAACCTTCTGGAGAAGAATCTCGAAAGAACCTGATGGGTGACTGTCCAATCATGAGCTGATACGGCCCCCTGTTATAATCACTGTGGCCAACAAAAATGGTTTCACAAACTGATGTAACCCTCTTCCATTAAAACCTCCCTTTTTCCTCTGCCTCTCGAACATGCCAGGAGTTTACTGACTGTTTCCCATATAGCTATTCCTTATTTTTTCTCTTCGAAAAATCTCTCATTTTGGTTTTAGTTTGGTTTGACGAAATAGTTGTTATCCTTGGGTTGTGGGATTATTATTATTATTGACTTGTTTTTATGTCTTTATCCACTTCATTATTTTGTAATATTCAACAGCAAATGACAGAGAAAGATTTCCATCACCTTCTCAGCTTCATTGACCTATGGCTGGCTGGCTGCAGTCTCTCCCTGCCTCTCCCTTCTGCAAACCTCCCCCCAGCTTCAGTGAAAACACTGTTGTAGTGATTGGCTTAAAATGTGCTCAGAGACATCTCTTCCAGGAACTGCTCTGGAGGCTGCCAGGAATGATCAAAAACCATCCTCTGTTCAAAGAGTGCAGACAGTCTTGCTTTAAATTTTAAATAATAATAATAAGGTATCAGTCGGGTTTGTTTGTAATGTATCTTTTAAGAAATATATTTCGCTCCATGGGCAGAGTTCATGAGAGGCATTGACCCCTGTGTGTGCAGAGAAGTTGAGGGCACAGCAGCTGAAGCCACGGTGGCACTCCCCACTGCTGGCAATCTGCCAGTAGATAATGCTCTAGCATGCCATTTCCAACCACTGGCCACAGGAGAGCCATTGCACCCACAGAAATAAGAGCCAACTGAAATGCCTGGCCTATGAGCTCTCTGCTAGTCAAAATGAAGAGGAAAATTGGAGGGAGGGAGGTATTTTAGGTCACTGGTGATCATTGTAGGTTTGCCCTAAAGACCTTTATTGAAATGTTTATATGCAATGAGATCAATAGCAGGCAAAGAAGAATGACTTTGAATCTTACAGTGTCCCTAGGTTTATTCTGTAAACAGAACACGTGACTCTGAAGAATATATAAAGAGGTTTATTCCGGAGTCACAGTTCCAGTGTCTGGGGAATCTAAACAGGATGGCACTGACATCTATGAGGACTCTGTGTGCCAACATGGCAGATGGGCAGAAAGGGAGCCTCTTTTCTGCAGGGAGGGCCAAGCACACAAAGTGACCCTTCAAAACTAACCCAACTGCAGGAATCCCAACTCACTCCTGGATCTCACTGTTCCACACTGGGCTCTGCCTCTTTCCCAAAGCCCAGCACCTCTGCTCCCTTGCCAGATGATGTCTCTTCGTGAACTTGGTGACAACACACCACAGCAAAGTGACATTTATAGGAGTAGAAGACCCAGAGCTACAGAGATGACCCTGTGGTTAAAAATGTTTGCTGCTCTTCCAGAGGACCAGGGTTCAGTTACCAGGATCTGTGCACAGCAACTCACAAAAGCCTAACTCCAGCTCAAGGGATGCGATGCCCTCTCCTGACCTCCACAGGCACCTAAATGTACAGGTGTGCACACACGCACGTGCGAGCACACACACAGACACACACACACAGACATAAGTTTTAAAAATAAAATGTTTTAAAAAGCAAGTACAAAGACTTACATTATTTACTAGGAGGAAAGCCCATGCCACATTAATATTGACTGGTCTGATTAACATAAGCTTCATTCTCATTCTTTACTGTTCACCTTCTCTCCCCAACTCCGTGTGTGCTGGGGCCAAACCCAAGGCCTGGTACACGCCATGACAGCGCCTCACCCAGTACCTCAGTTTTCAAGACAGATCTCACTATCTAGTCCAGCCCTGCCTGAAGTTTTCTATCCCTCCATTTCTGT